CATTCATTTTTACATGATTCATCCCACGTAACCATAGGCATTTCTGTGAGGAATGTTGGTTAGGACCTGTATCAGTGCAAGCATTCCTTATCAGACAGAAGTAAGTGCTTCTATTCAGACCACAGACATATGAATAGCTTGCTACTGCTCCCTACCTTGGAGCATGTAAGTGAAGTACCTAAAATCAGTTGAGCTGAATCCAGAACTTTATGGATAATATATACTGCTGGACTGGACTTAAAAAACAAAGCTGTATAAATGATCACATTGTAGGGTATATACCAAAAAATAACTGCAAAATGGTTAAAGCAAAGCTTTCTCTACAGACAAATTATTAAGTACTTGCTTATTTGTGAACCTCAGTAGAAAAGATCAGATTGATACTTGTCTTACCATGTGTTTCTACCATTTTACTTCAACACTGAAACAAAACATGACACATGTCACTCAGTACACAGTCCAGACTCTCTGCTGCATTGAGTTTGCAGCAGAGACAAAGGGCTATTACTAATCATAGCTTCTTGAGTTTCCTTGTACAGCTCTGATATAATCACATCTCCTGTGTCACACCTGTGTCCTACCAGCTGAGGAGAGTCAGAGCACAGCACACCCTGAGATTAGGCTTGTTCCCAATATTTGCAACAGAGGCAGCAAAGTATGGTCGTATGCACTGATCCCACAAAAGCTCAGCACTTCCCACCCTGCCAGGGAAGTTAGGTTGAGACTGTCTTCTGTGCACTGACAAAACAAGGCAGTACATAATTCTAAAACTTTAATATTTTACAATCTTTTCCGAACCATCTGTATTATTTTACAGAATATGGATAAGATGAAAAAGTTAAAACGCGCATGAAAAATAAGCTGTTGCACAGCATTGGCTTGATGCTCATGGGACACCAACATATGAAAAAGGGCATAAATCATCGTTTCTCTGAACGACTGCGATCACAGAAAGTGTAAATATTCATGTAATTAATTCCTTGCTTGTCCACATTGCAGTCTCCACATAAATAATGTGGAACCAGACAACTGCTGCGGGCCAAAGAAGAGATACAACCTGCAAGTTTGAACAAAGCACCAATTTCTACTATAAATCAGTTGAAGTCATATTTTCTTCTAATGATATTAGTTGCTTATTTTCTTTTCGTGTACAGAATGAAACAAAAGCACACAGATTCCACCAGATAATTTATACAGATCAAACTTTAAATTGATGGTACTCGAGTTCAACTCATACATTTGGGCATCACTTTCATTTGAATTACTTTAGCCTGTTTAGTAAGAATGAAGCAGATATCTCTTCTCCTGCTCAAAGAGCATAAACTGAAATTGTTTATTACACAGTGGAACAAGTGGCTAAGCCTAGAACAAAACATGTTATTGGAAAACCGATAAGCAAAAATAACCAGAAGGAATAGGCAAATAAGTAAAAGGACCTGAAAGTCTTAGTGCATGATCAGAATGACAATGTTAAGTAGCTCAGCAGATACTTAATGGCATAATTTACATAGCTGGAGTACTAATTAGATAACTCTAACTCAGTCAAGAAGCAATGACAAGCTCCAGGATAAGGATTTTGCCAAGTATATCAAAAGGCAGAAAACAGAATTTTGAGAGTCTCCGAATAATAATAAAAAGTGGAAAATGACAAAGGTACTGACATTGTGGAGATTCCGACATAGATCACCAAACCAGGTAAATGATTATTTTTATGGTCAACTAACAGAATCATCTGAACCACAGGCACGGGTGACAGTGGGAGATTCACTACTTAGATAGCTTCTGAAAACAAAGATTCAGTCCAAGTTTTGGTGGAACTGGTGCTAACTGGAACTGCCGAAACTGCTAACTGTGCTTTTAGAAAGGAAGGAGACCTAGATTGATCCTAACCAACAGAAAGACCTAGTTGAGAATGTAAAAGTGGAGGGCAATTTGGATAAGAGGGATCATGGAACAGAATTCTAGAAATGCCAGTTGGAAGAGACCTCTGGAGAACATCTAGTCGAGCCCTGAAGTCAAAGTGGGACTATTGCCAACACTAGATTAGGTCAGTCAAGGCTTTGTGTATCTGAGTCTTGAGAGCTCCAAGGTCAGAGCTTTCACGGCCTCTCTGGGTAACCTGTTTTAATGCTGCGCTCCTCCCAGTGAAGAATACCTGAGTTTATGATTCTGAGGCGTTGAAGGAATAGTTACAGAAATAAATACTTCAAAGCATTCAGAATGTGTAGGCAAGAGCCTATTAGAAATGACTTCAGTGGGAACAGAAGATAAGGAGAGTTAGCCAGTCCCAAAATTAAAAAAAGAAAAAATTGAGGAAATGACAGAAACACATTCTTTATCACTGAAAATAGAAAATATATTAAGACATATATATTTAAGACATATATAAGACATATATTAAGACATATATTTTAAAAATATCTAGCTAAATATATATATATAAAATATATTAAACATATATTTAGCTAAATCATAAATACTTTGCTCATCCAAATACTCATGCAAAAAAAAAAAAAGTGAAACTGAGTTAAATTTCTAAATTTAGATGCCAAAAAATAGCATGACAATGCAGGCACAAAAATCAGAGAGTAAAAGGCCAAGTAAAAGTAGCAAGAAAGCTACTTCCTGGAAAGAACATCTGTGTACAGCTAAAACACGTAACATCCATGAGACATCAGTAAAAGCTCCGTTGAGAACAGATCTTGCTAGAAAGCACTTAGAAATTTTCATATAATTGAGGATTAGGGATATTCATGCTAAGATAGTTATAATAGTGGCTAAAGAAGTCTAGAAGCCATAACAATTATCTTTGGCAACTCAGGAAGTTCAGGGAAATGTGGGAACATATAAGAGATGAATAAGAGGCAATACGTTTTGTTCAGAACAAATCGCATCAAACCAATCTAATTGTTGGGTAATAAGGGGTAAAAGGTTCTCTCAGGAGGAGAAGCAATTGATCTGACATATATTAATTCACTTACTACCCTACAAGTAAGGAAGAGAAACCTGGCTTAGAGGTAACTAGATGTACAAAAACATATTCTGAAGTTAATTATCAGCAACTCACTGCCCAACTGGAAAGACAAATTTAATAGGATAACATTGGGACTGGTCTCAGATAGGCACTATCCAAGTCATTAATGAAAATACTGAATAATGCAATTTGCAACATGCTTACTAAATGCATGAATGATTAAGCTGCAGGGGCTGCAAGCCCCTTCGAGGACAGGACTATAATTCAGAACGATCCTGGTAAACTGGAGAAATGGGGCAGGGGAAAGAAAAAAGGACACGGTTCTTCACCCAGGCAGGAACAACCAGCAGAGCACATTCAGGATGGACAATAACCAGGAGGGCAGAATTCTGTAGGAAAAGACCTGGATACTATATTGCAAGTGGTTATAAGTGGAAAATGGATTAATTGTATCCCACTGTATAGCAGTTATCGGAGAGAGAGATGTGTAAACAGGAATACCTTCTATAAAACATGGATCCTCCTGTTGTAGTCAGTGCTGTTAGGAACCTAGGCTGAAGTACAGAGTCTGCGCTTGCTTTTCAAGTCATACACAGGCTAACTGAAGGGAGGTCACAGCAACAGTTAGGAGTCTAGAAAATGTGACTTATGAGGAAGGTTGAAAGAACTGAGGTTAAATAAGAGAAGTTTGGGATGGGAGAAGTCCTCAAGTATAAGCAGCAGTTGCAAAGAAAAGAAGAATAAAGTCTTCTGCATAACCACTGTGGGTAGAGTAAGAAGCTGTAGGCACAAAACACAGAAAGAAAAGTTTTCCATTGATAAGGAGAGTTAAACACTGGACTATATTGCCCAGAACAGTTGTGAAGTTTCATCATAGCCTAAAGGTTAAGAACAGCCTAGAGAAAAAAGTTAAGAAACATTTGACAGTAATGACAATTATAACTGATCACTTCCTAGGTAAGATAAGGAACTACATGAACTTCTGAGGTCCCTCACCTATTAACGTGTTAAAAGGTTTTAGTTTATTTTAAGGGAATAGTTTCCTCAAAACACTGCAGCCATAGCTTCATCAGAAGCCGATCAATCTAGTGTTCAGATTCAACAAAGCATTTCTTCCTTTACTGATGTCCTTTTCAGATATTCAAAAAACAACATTCAATCAATCTACGGCTAAGAAGACAACTGGCCGAAACAACGTTCCAAAGTATTCAATCTTTAAATGATCAAGGATTGTACATTGGTGTTTTTCTATGTTACTTCATTAAATATATTTATTTTGCAATTACTTGAACTATTAGTTCTATAATGAGTTATCTCAGTTCTGTCCTTTTGGGTGCAGATTACATGATTGAAATCCTTCAAGCAAGGCCTGAACGCAGCCTATGTTTTATGAAAAGGGATTCATCAAATATATGAATAAGTATATAATCTACATATAGTCACGGTGTGTTTTAGGTGAATGCAAATATTCACAGAACTTTTTTTCCTAACCTGATGTTCTCTTCCAGCTGGGAAGAGGATTTTTAGTAACAGAAAGGCTCAGTTATGGAAACTACTTGCTGACTCTCAAATCCGTGCGTCTTGGAACCAGATGGTCTGTTGGAAGACATTTGATTTGATTGAATACAAAGAGGCAGCTTAGAGCAATAAGCCATAAAGATTATCCAGAGATCTCTGAGATATCACTAGTTTACAGGAAAAGTACTTCAATAATTTCAGGAATTTTAAACAAGTTCAGCATGCTGTAGGCAAACATCCAAGATACCATTAACTTGATGCAGACTGAAATATAGGTGCCCTGGAAAATGCACTTCTTTCACTTCAAGTATTAAATTGACAGGCTGCTCCAAACAAGGATTTTGTTGCACAGTTAAATATTTTGGCAGTACTTCATGTTGCAAGCCTAGCACATACTAGACTTGTTTCTGAAACTTCCTGCTGGTGAGGTCAAAAGTCTTTTAAGTTAGTGATGAGTAGCAGAGTTTTATGGGGCAAGCATAGTACAATTCCAGACGAACTGGGTTCTTATAAAAAACTTGCAAAAGATAAATATTCCTATGCTTTAACCCTGAATAGGAGAACAAACCTATTTTTATAGGCTAAAAATATTTCTGTGACTCTAGCTAGAAAATGCTGGTTTACTGATACTATTACCACCTTTTATTTTTCATTAATGTTACTCAGGTTTTGCTGTTACAAAAAATTTTTTGACAACAGTATTATATTTTTCTCATCCAGTATCAGCTGAAGAGAATGAGTTTAAAATAGGGCAAGCACAATAGCAAATGCCTTGTGCATGTGACAGAAATTGGAGTTAAACAGGCACTTTACAGGTAATTTTAAGGTCTTGCGCTACTCAGCATCATTTGCTGTTCTAGCTTTCAGAAGTGCATGACAGCAGTTCCTTTTCACCTCTTTAAAGTGAATAAAAGGAAAAATCTCAGAACGCCTGAACAGGCCTACTAAGCTCTAGGCCTGACATAATGGCAAAGGAAAGCTGAAAGACACGTCAGAAAGAAACACAGGACACATTTTCGAAGCTGAGCTGTCAGGCGCTCCAGTTAGCACTGGGTTTTTCAAAGAGTTATTTATCAGACAGTATTTTAAAGAACGTCTAACTTTAGGTACGCGTATTTCCAGTGGTGCAACGTTTAAAGCAGAACACAGGATGCTGCTCGAGAAAACATGCAGATTAACTTGGGTGAAACACTGAGGAAATGGGATGGAAAACAAATTTCTAATGTATGATGATGCTTCTTCCTCAAACCAATCTAGTCTTAAATATATCTGCAAAGGTCTTGAGAAGGTATATTTATTAGTGCTAATCAAAAAGCCTTGTATGGTCTGAAACCATGTGAACTCAAACTGCCTGAAGGTACCTGGCTGCTGTGTACACTACTGCAGGAGGCTAACCGTCCTGTAGGTGTCTCATATAAAGCAGAAAAAACAGTCAAAAAGACTTTAAAATTAGTTACATTTGAAAACAGACAATCATTCCTTAGAACAATTTGTACATTTGCCCCCCCTTTTTTTCCTTATATTTTTACAGGATGCTTATCTTTGCACTGGTGACACATATGGTTTTATAAGGGTGAAAAGGATTTCTAGTCTGTAGACTTGTAGTTTGGGATTTAAATTACATCATGGCAGCTGGATATTTATATTAATATGATTAGCTGCATAGTATTTAATCATGTTGACCTTACATAGGCATCCTCAGATTTCGACAGTTTAAGATGAAAACACAGATTAACAATAATTTGAGATGAAAAGGCTATTTCCTGTCTTTTGTAGTTATTGTTTCAGGCTATTTGTAGAGTAGAGAAGAAAATACTCTCCTTAAACTGAATCTACATTTTGTAATGTTATCTTCAAACCTGCAAGTATGAGATGCACAATATTTTTATGACAAAACCGGTTCTAGAAGACATTTCTGCATGAAAATCTGGTAAAATAATTTTGCAACATGCAAAATTATAATGGCTACAGTAACTGTTAGTTCATTACTGGTATTGTTACTAAGAAACTCCTAATAGCTATACACAATCTAAACATTTTGACTTTGAGTCTTAAACCTATTTTCTTACCTTAAACAGGGAAGAGAACACATGAAATGTATAAACTGCACAGGAGCCATCAGAATCGCACATGAGCTGGTTGATATGACTACGCCAGGCTTCTTCTGCATCATCACACGCTGCTGGTTGAAATGCAGCAAGGATGGCAGAAAAAAATGGTGAGGGAGGAGGTGACGCATTTCGATCAACATCACCAAAACTAAAGGAGAAAAGAAAATAAACTGTGATGAAGGGAGGATATCAAGGAGGTAGCAAATAAAATATGCTATAGCAAAGAGATACAATCAGAGGACCAATTACGGGGTCTTTTAAAAAATACCCATGAGCTTTCAAATTACTTTAGAAGTGTGGCAAGATGTTGGCCACAGTGAGAAAAGAACCTCCAGATCAGAATCTCTGTCATCAGGCCATTATCATCTGTCTTCTCCCATTCTGGAGAACCCATACAATGGTTTAAAGGAAGAAGGCTGAAACTTTGCAGGAGGACAGAGCCCATGAGGAAAAACACGTCTTCTGGGAAAACGCGGTTGTAATAATGTATAGCAAAACTACCGAATGCAATTCTAAAACAAAGGCACACACACACACGCACAGAGGGCTTTGCTATGGATCCTGTACTCCTCCTCTTCATGAGTAAGTACTGATTGCACTCTAACTCAACTCTGCTCAACACTGGAAAGATCTGCACTCTGTATGGGCTTGCAGAAACATGTACTTGGGTCCAGTCCTGCTCACGAGCAGCCTCAGGAGTACGTAGATGGCATTTTTGATAATATTGTGACTTCTTATGACCCATAACTGATCAGAAAGATGAATGCATGGATTATATGACTTTGAACACTTAACTAAGGAGTATTTCAACTGCCACAAATCTTTAAAAATCCTTTTACTTTTAATGAAATACATTACGCACATAACGACTAACTGTATAGATGTATTTACAAATCACGTCTTGATTCTCCTACAAGGAAAATCTTGCTTTGTTGGTGCTTGTGATAGTTATGTAGGTTTACTGGGCATTGTCTTCTCACTACTTCAGTCATGAGAATTTTACATCTATTTTGGCCAAAATACCCATTCCTCGATGAAATGAATTAACGCCTTGCTACCACTTTGTTGTGCAGTGTAAAAGGACTTTTATAATTAATAGTTTATACCTGGCAAGAGCAAATTGCTCCAGCCTGTCAACTTTCTCTTCCGTCTCTGTCATATCCAGACTGAGGCTATCACTGCATTCAAATGCTCCTGGCAGTTCATTTGTAGACCCAGAAAGGTCATCTTCATGGGCTGCTGTATCTTGCTCTTCATGTATGGCTTCAGCCTAGGGGAGGGAATATAAAGTAATACGATGCCTTAGAAAACAGCAAAATAGTAAGTTGATTCCACTAATAACTAGAAAAGATTTAGCAAAAAGAAAAAAGCCCCTAGCCAACAGTTCAATTGCACAAAGCCATAGATTATAAATGACAAGAATCAAGTTACACTTCTTCAAAAATACTGTACTTGCTTAACTTGCTGCCTTGGATCAATACAGTTTTTAAAGACATTTCTTCAATTCAGTTCATCCAGCCAAGAATTTCAGATTTCAATGCATTTGGTAACATAGCAGGAACGTATTTTTTCAGGAAAAACAACAGAATTCTTGTTCCTGTCAGGCTGTTCTTGTAACTGATCACTTTGTAGTGTCCACACATGTACTAAAGCCTCACAAAAATACACAGGAAAAAATAATTGTCTGAAAGACTATAGGCATGTTTAGGATTGAGAATTATTTTCAGCATGTCATATTTACATAACGACACATATATGTCCTAGGAGCTGGTAGGGAGGGAAATCTGTGACAAGTGGAATTTGAAGACAGAAATGGCCCTCCAGAGGTTACCAGACCTGCCTGAGTCCTAAAGATAAATTCCAGGGATTTGAATTTCAGAAAATTAAACAAGATTTGTATCAGAAAGGACAGGATCAGAAATTAAGTAAGAGAGGTTTTTTTTGTTCTGTTTTAAAAGCAGAAGGGATAGGAATGTTCCTGAGCCTAGGCCAGATGAAATGAATCAGAGCACAAACCGTCCTGAAATGAGAAATGGAGGCTATATAGTTGAATTACCAGAACAGAAGCCAGAGTAAGTGGCAAGAAGCATACATGTTTTATGTTTCTTCAAGAAGCAGTTAGTATTAACTACTTTCAAATATGAAAAATTAGCTTAAGGTTTATTGATGGCAATGTAAGTGTATATACAAGGAAAACAGATTTTGAAGGGATTTGGTGACGGAGGAATAAAGAAGAAAAAACAGCTAACACCCACCAGATTCCGATAAAATATCCCAAAAGCAAAGTAAAAAAGTGGACACTAAATATTGATGTGGGATTGCAATACACTTCCAGAAACAGAGGAGTTTAGATAACTTGAAAAACTATAAATTAACAACATCTGAACCTTTGTATCCCTCACAATGTTATCCATCACTACCTCCTAATTCCTTATAGCTACTATATCTTAATTGTTGCAATCATTACTTTTAACAGAAAATAAGTTTAATTAATTTCTTGCCATGGGCAATAACACCTTGATTTTTGCACTGAGATATTCCAGAAGAGCCTCACTTAGTCTCTCTGTTGCTGTCATTCTCTGCCTCTATTTAAAGTTGGGATGATATTTTTTGTTTTTGCTTATGATGCAACAATCAAAGGTTTTTCTATAGCACTAAAGAAGTAACAAAAATGTATCTCTGCATTGCTGATATACCATCAGCACACTGAAAATAAAAACACAGAGGGAAACAGAAACAGGAAAGAATGGAGATTTTGTGTTAAGTAAAATCAGAAAACTTGAAACATGCACCTAAATGATTAGAAATTGGACGATTTCTTCCTCAAAATAAATATCAAACCATGCCTTTTAACTTTGTTTATGCTGACTCCGGTCTGTTTTAAGTAAAAATATAGAAGCATACATACTAGAAGAAAGTATTTTTGAGATTAAAAAAGGCTAAGGAAGCTTTCTGTGTAAAGTTTAGCAGTTAAAATATTATCCTTGTAACACTGGCAAGTGCCTGTCAACTGGAATTATGCATTTCATCAATACCAACCTTTCTCAGGACTAGCTGAATTTGCCTGAAAACCTCACAAAAAAATCTCTCCTGTGATTTTTCATTTTTTTATCTTTTCCAAAGCTTTTCACTTTTTGATGAACACTGGTGCATGATTATTGGGACATATTAAAGAGATTTTCATTTCACATATTCTGAAACCCTGGCTTACATGCAACTCATGAGCTGTGATCTGCAGTTCTTAATCCACCTACTAGTTGCTAATGCATCTGGATGCATGAGCTTGGCCACAGCCATCACCTGCAAGAGTATCTGTTCTTACTGCAGGTTCCTGAACTGAAATTTGGCCAGCTTCTGCCACTTGTAGTTGTTATGAGGTAACTTGTCTACCAACACTTGTCTTCACAAATGGTAATCAGTTTATCTTTTCCACTGCCATTCTTTTGAGGGGTTCCCCTCCTCTCCTCACCCACAGCCCCCCTCCTCCTGTGCCTTCCTCCTGCCTGGGGAGGTTTCTGACACACACAACATGCCGCCCAGCTCCAGCCTCCTTTCCTGCTTCCTGCCCTCTACAAGCTTCCATAACTTCTCCTATACGGAGCACTCTATCACTTATTTGCACGGCCGCATTTGGAGGGGAAGGAGGGCATGAGCTAGAATGAAAGCTGATGATTACACAAGACATTTACGTTCTTCCCCTGCCCCATTCTCTTATGCTGCTCTCCTGCAGAAGACACCCAGCTCCGATATGATAGAGAAAGCCTTCCTGATAAGGCAACAGTGTCATAAAGCCACAAAAAGCAAACAAACAAACAAATCAAACCCTCAGATTATTTCAGGAGAGAGAGTGAGAGCGAGGGCAGTAGATTCACCTGATCTCCCATACACAGAAGTATCAAACAGAAATATTATCAATTAGAAAATTAAAGGACTTCCCCACATTGGCAATCTTTTTACGAACCTTACATTATGTTCAGGTTGCTGCTTCTTACTCAACTGTCTGAGATAAACTGTGCTGAACACGGCTGTTTCCTTGCAAACCCTGCCCCCCACAAAAAGCTGGCTTAATATTTGATCATGAATTTAAAATTTCTGAGTGCCTGCCAAAGGCAAGAACTGAATCCAGTGCACACAACTGTACAATAGGTTCCCACATACGAAAGAATCTCAGAGAATATATGCATACACCCACACGAGTTAGCTAATCGTTCTTTAAAATCAGCTTGAAGAACAAAAGAGCATTCCCGTAGGGTTGTAACTTCTAACCAGTTCATGAATTTATCTTGTAATAAGCTAGTAGCATGTTGGTGTACACATAGTGGAATACAGTTAAGAAACAATAAATAAAATCCTTTTGATGAGGAGAGTGTAAGTAGAAAAAAGAGGGTATGAATGTGCAGGAACATATGCATGTATTGTTTATGCCACCATCATATACAGAAAGTGTGAATATACGTGCTTCCACAGATCAAACCTTTCAAGAAAGCATATATAAAACGAACGAGTAAAAATGTTACATAAAATATACTACAGCTGGAAAAGAAAATAAAAATGTCTTCACCTTGGAACTTTCAGACACTTGGAGATTATTCATGTCAGGCAAAGAGACATCAAACCTAGATGTTCCTATATTAAAATGATGAGGGTCTGCTGAGGTTGTGTCACATGATGTAGAAAGTGAGTCAATTTTAAACAAAAGCGGAGAAGAACTGAGCGTACAGGTACCCTACCATACATTGCTTTTATGAACGTGCAAAGCAAATGTTGTCTTAAAGAGCAGTGATAGCGCTTCTGATAGTTGTACGTAAAGACACATGACACCCTTTTCAATATTTCTGTCATACAAATTGTATGTAAACATCCTAGAAGTGAACAACGAAAATCCGATACAGTTTGGAAAAATGGAGCCCTGTCCTATTTCTACAAGTATTAGATATATCAGAATTATTTACTACTCACTGATCATTTACACAAAATTTGCAGGTAGTAATTTGCTGCAAAGAGCAACATATCAGATTGGATGCTTCCTGTGCTTAGAACCTTCATTAAAATTCCTGTATATGTTTGCAAAGAAACAAAAAGCAAGCAACTAGCAAATACCGCCTTACGTGCCATCCCCCTACAATTTCAGCTGCTCAGGTTGCACCTAGGTAAGAGGAAGCTGAAAGACCAATGTATTTAAAAACACAACCCGAGCTATCATTAAAGTGCCAGTGAACAACTCACTAGGTCCGAGTGCTCCAGGATTTGGCTGGTGGTCAGGTCCTCCTCCTCTGATGACTCATCGGAGTCCTCATGGTTCATTTTGTTCAGGCTGGGCGTACTCCCCGAGAGCTGGCTTTCCTCCAGCAGCTGCATGTCGCACTTGTCCAGGCTGTCCAGAGAACGTCTGCGTACTCCCCAGTTGAAATTGTCCATGCTCTCGCCCTGAAATCAGAGATAGCATCGGTTTTCTTGATCTGAAACTCATCAAATACCACAACTAATCGTTAGATCAAAGTTAGCTAAAGAATGTTCTTATGTGAAGATATAATACAAATTTGATATGTACATTATTTTGCTAAGCAATAGGCTAACAGGAGCGTTTAAAATTTCCCAGCACTTCACCTGGAGATAAGAGCAGAAGCATGGAAATGACAGTTAATTGAAAATTCATTATTTTCAGTATTAGACATTTTTCATGCACTGGCTGATTTAAGAATTCATTTTTGTAAGTCCACATATACACACACCTCAATACCACTGGAGCAATGACAGGCAAAGTAAAAATTTAAAAGCAATTTTAGAAGATTTTTCCATGATGTTTAAAAATATTAGCACTACAGCTCATAGCAGTGTTTCAATCACAAAACATACATTAAGGATTTTAGATTTCTCGCATTATATACATAACCATAATGATGAGTTAAGGTAGATTTAAATGCACCTCTTCATTTAGCATGTAAAATGCAGTAACTAAAGCACTACATCTTTTTAACTATAATTCTAGGCTGATATAGCTTATTTTTGTAACTTGAAGTTATTTTGAATTATTTAAAGCTATACTCCAAGAATAACCTGACCAGCATTGACTGAGATTTCACTCTTTAAGAAGGGCACAGTCAAATTGTCCAAACATTTTATATCGACTTTCAGTTCTGATCCTACATACAGTAATATAAAGTGTGTGCATTAATACAAAATTTTTTTGTGTCTAACAATGACAAATATTTTTCCATTTGTTTCTATTTTTTCTATTTGTTTGCTTTACATATTTTTCAGCACACTGTAGCCAGTTTCACTAATTAGTTTCACTAACTGCACCAAGTCCCTAGCTCCCTTCTTCAAGTCTAGTTAGGCTCCCGCACGGCAAACGCGGGAGTATGCCCCTAACTCCCGTCATGGCCCCACAGAGGGCAAAGGGGCCTTACAAAGCAATGAAATATCCAGTTGCAGTTTTGAGCGCTTCCTCTTGATGTAAGCCCTCAACATTATATCAACATGGGAAGAAAAATTATAGAGAAAAGAAACCTTTCTTTTTAAAGTTCTGGATTGATCTTTCAAGAAAAGACTCTGTTGGAAGCAACGCTCTTGAACAAGTAAATCAATTTCTGAAAATTCAAGTTGACCATTATCTTTTAAATATGAAACCACTGAACTTTCTGCCTTAACATCATAAATGTTGACAAAATGTAGATTATAGAAGAAGTATCTCCTGGGCTTGCACAGTTTAAAACGATGTACAATCGCAGAGAAAAAGGTCTCACTTCAGTAAGGTACTTGAGCAGACTTCTGATTTTAAACACTTGAGTAATTCCCATTCAGGACTACTCAGAGAGACGAGGACTGCATAGGCACCAAAGGGCATAATCTGCAGTTAATTCCATTGCAATTTTACCTCCTTAACAATTAACACACTTGCACAAATAGATCTTATTTTGCATCACAGCACTTCAATGCAATGGATTTTGGAGTATAATTGAAAAGAGGGAAAGTTCAGCTTTTTAACACAAAGCTCACTTTTCATGAACAAATGCAAAGAAAAAAGAAAATAGTGTTTAAGAAAAAGACAATACAGAAATGCGAGAACTGAAATCCACAAGAAATACAGAATTAAGGAATGCAGTATATTCAAGAGCAAATGAAAATGAAATTGTTATGAAGCCACAGTATTAGAAGCACCCTGTGTTTTCATATCCTGGGAAAAGGATCATGTAGTAGCATGGTATGGGACTAGAAAACATCAATATTTAAGAAATTAGGTCCCTTTAAATCGTAAAAATGATTGTACAGTTCCCAACTACTTATTTCAACAAATTATTTGGCACTCCGCCCTCCCCCATGAAGGCTGGAGAACATATGCAGCAATGGGGCATGCTCCACAAAATATCAGCTACTGAACTAACCAACAACGTAAGGAAGTAAATAAGATGGCCAAGCAAGCAAAAATGACTGCTGTCACTCCCTGATCCTCATGCTGCCTAGTACAGCTACCAGGTAACTTTGCAGCCTGTGTCTATGGGTCTATTTTTTGGTGCTGTTTCATTTTGGAATGTATTAAAGAAGAAAGCCAGCAAAAAGGAAAAGCAAAATATAACGGGGCATTTATAGGACATGCAATTAAAAGGAGTGAGTGGATTAAAAGTGAGGGAAAAGGTACATGACAACTTAAATAACCCAAAATATTTGGGTTAGTGTAACCTTGCTACAGGGGCAACCAGAATCATAGTGAATCTAAGCAAGAGGTCAACACATGTCTACTAAAACGGAGTTCTGGTTTTTGTGATCTGAAGCAGTTTTTCTCTCACAGGTAGCGAGCAGGAGGGACGACGCAGTTGAGAGGCTGTTCATTTTTATCTACAGCTGCAGCAAAGCTATCTCCTATCTGAAAAGCCACCAGTAATACGTAAGAAAAGGCACTTCTTATAGATGTGCCTTGCCAACAATGCGCCAGCGTTACGCAGGACTGCCCATGCTCGCTGCCATCTGGTAATGGAGCCGGCTTGCCGTTCCAGCCTTTTCAAACATTGCCAAACCCAGGCGGAAAGGAGAGGCACAGAAAGGAAAGTACATAGGGAAGTAACTCCTTGACAAAGCCAAAAGAACCATGCAAAACTTCCTTCAGACAAATGTTCACCCTATTGTATTGACAAAGTGCACACAGTGAATGGAGTCACACCAGTATGGTAGGGTACAGGCACTAGCACCGTGGAACTGAATAATAAGCCACGATTTCCATACATTTGTATCTTTTAGAGCACATGCATTTTTGGGACAGAGATTTTGTCGGTGCTTATGTCTGGACAGTAACTGATATAGAAGCTGTCAGAAACAGATCTGCAAAACACTTGTCCCTGCTGCTTTTTGTATCATTTATACAAGTATTTTTGTATCATTTCAATTCGTGATATAATACTGAAAAACTGCAAGTTAAGGTCCCAAACTTGCAAATGCTGATGTGCCTCTTTCAGTTTTCTTCACATGGTAAATGATTCCAGCAAAATCAGTAGGAGTAAACAGCTGAATTAAATTAAGCGAGATCATTTGCAAAATTAGACCGATATGAAATGATCTAAACTGTCTAAAGAGGTCCCACATTATCAGCATTCGTAAGATGCTAACAGGAGCCAATATACACAGCAGAAAAGCTAGGACTTATGTATTATTTGCCCATAGAAACAAATGGCACAACCTTTACTATATTTTAAAAACTAAGTAAGCTCCTTTTCTGTGTCTACATACTACCTATGCACAAAGATATGAAAAACAGAAATGGCCCAATTTCAAAATGCTGATATTAGATTAAAATAACTTAAAATTTTTAAAGTCAATTGAAAATATGAAAAATAGATAAGTTAAAATGAAGCAGAATGTCTTTCAATGATTTGAAACTTATTTCTGAAAAAGACCTCCAAAATATTTCTAATACAAGACAACAAATGAAGCATCTGTCAGAAATGCAAGCGCGCACACACCCACACACACACAGGCACACACTGAAGAGGGGGAAAACAACAAAACTATGATGTTATTCTATAATATAGGTTTGCAAGAAGGCATAACATATACTAGCATATCCGAGTCCATGTCTTACCTGAAGTTCCTGGGTAGCAGATATAACAGATAGAAAAACAAATAGAAAGAATCTATGTAAAATCACTGTATTAAAGACATCATAGACAAATATTTGCCTACAATTGTAAATAGTTATTACAGAAACTTCAGCTTTTCAGCCCTACCTTTTAAATTTAAAAATATCCATCACTTGCTTTCACATCTGTACTAAATTTCAAAGAGGTGCATCGTGTGATCTGGGGATGATATAACCATCACTGACCCGTTTAAATCATAAGGTTTTTTGGAAAGACTATTTGTGGTCTTGCTAGTTTACGCTTTCTAACACTGTTTTATTCATGTTTATGAATACATCAAATTCAGGCCCGATGCAAATGATAAGGTTTCAGCTGAGTCACCGGAGACATAGCCTCTTCTACTAGTTTTCAGTTTGGCCAAAATATCTATTTACTTAAAAAACAGTAAGTCAGGCTGGACTAAATCTTGGAATGCAAGATCTGAGATTCATGGCAGTTTTAGACATGTATTAAGTAAATGGCCACATTTTCAGTTTTACTTCATGCAAAAATAGAGATGTTTGATATCTGTTCCACAACCAATTTGGGACAATTAGTATATTGAGTAATTCAGGCCTCAGTCTTGAAGCTGGCCACATGTGTGCAAATCTTGGCAGAATCATACTCTATGAAGGTAAAACCTTTTGAATGGGAGTTGCTCTGCACTGAATGCCAGGGACATTCAGTTGGCGACCTCTCTGCCCTACGCCAGTATAAACAGTACTAACAATCTGCTGGTTCAGTGACAATTTTAGTATTTTTTCTCCTTCTCAGTAATGAATGCCATATTTTCTTTAGAAAATTTTATACGATAATATATACATATAATACTCATATGGTTTTAGCTGGGAAGAAATTCTAAATGTTACCCAGTGGACAATCAGTAATCATATCATAATTAGTCAAAATTATAATCCCATGCCCTTGTAATATTTTGAAAGTATTTAAGATATAGAAAAGACTGCAGCCGGTTTATTTTTCTGACAGTTACTTGGCATTGTTGTTTTATCATTTATCATTGTCTGGAACATTAAAGCTCCTTCATAATACTTGGCCAGTGTATTTTCAACCACTGATGCCACCTACTTTTTTTTTCAGCAAAGTGATAGGCCACTGTGAGCCGAAATTACCACATTTTGATATGGAGAGTATATGGAGATTCTAACTTGGAAAATAAGGACTCTGTGTTGACTCTCTCTATTCCTTCATCCTTTCTCTTCATTGGAAAAAAATTAAAAATCACAGGTACCTTAGTTCACAGCTGAGGGGTCTGTTTACCTTAACCAATACTTCTCTAAATCTACTGGTGGGAATGCTGATTATTTCTTCTTGCACACATGTTCTTCTTAGGGCTAAGAGTGATGCCTGAGATGAGTGATTTGCCTCATGTCAAAATCCGAGTCCGGACTATGACAAGACAATTTACTAAACCGTTAGGCTGACTGAGCATTTGCACTTTAAGTATTTCAAAATAGCTGACAATTTCTAAAGTCTGAAATAGCAATGACATTGTTAGACTTGTTTGGCAACGAATAGACTTTTTTTGTCCTTTTCCACCCAAATGGAAAGAAACACTCCAAGTCTGATGTAAGCAAGGTTAAAAGGTGTAGCCCCCTCCAAACTGCAGCACTTCTTCAACTATTTCCCTTGAGCAGTTTCAGCTAAAGGTGAGCTGACAGGGTTCACCTGCCAAGACTTGACCTAGCCCTCAGGGTTCTGTTTAGCTCCTGCAGGAAATGATGAAATCACTGACACCTAAGCAGCGTGGAAGGTACATCTCTCAAAGCGTCAGTGATTTCATCAGCAGTTGCAAGAGTAACAGAACACCCTGAAGGCCTGAATTCAAGTTTTAGAGGGTTACTCATGAAACAACAGATTTGAAACAATTCTATCTTACAGGCTCTTTCTTTTTAATCTGCAAACATATTTTTGTTAACAATTTTGGACTTCAAAAACTGTATTTAAGCTGAATTCACTTAAAAGTCACAGAAACTTGATATTCATACCAGTAGTAGAACAGAGGCTTTATCTTTCAGTAACAGTTTTGCAGTGTTTCCTAAAGCAGATTTAGAAAGGAAGGGTGTGGTCGCCTGTTACTGTTTTGCTACTGAAGTAAACACTATGTGCACATTATAAATAATCTTAACTCAAAGTTCATAGTTATATAGTTAAAAGTTTTATGTTACAAAAAGAGTATAGAAATTAGTAGAAGGAATATCAAACTGTTTTTAAAAAAAGCTGTTTCAGAGAAAATATACTGTACCTCCCCATCTTCCAGCTCAACATCTAGGAAATCAAAGTCCCTAAAGACTCTGAACTGTTGTTCACTGTTTGAATCATCCATGTTCTCCTGCTCCCTGGTTCCGTCTTCTGAAGACACCAGGCTTGTCTGGTGCTCAATCAGATCCAGATCACCACAGGAAGAAAAAATTACCTACAATTCAAAGGATTTCTCTTGTAAGAAACTGTTCCCTCTGGTTGTTTCTTCGTAAAAGCTGTAATTGGTTATTCGGAAGTCTGTATTTCCAGTACACACCTAATTCCTTTAGTGTGTATTTTTAGAACGCTCTTTATTATTTATGTTGGACAGGTGCCTTCAGATTAAACTTGTACAAAGAAGCAACTTCATACTGCAGGAACACGTCCAAGAATATTACAGCTACCTCCTAATGGCTGCAGACTGATGTTGCCTAGATGTTTGTATACGTTTACCGGAACAAAAATCAAAGAACTTAAGAAAGAAAGTGCTATCAATGAGATGAGTTAATAAGTTCATCAAAAAATCTTTAGCTAAAAATGATGTTTGAGAATGTGTCATGATTGGAAAATCTAACAAACTGTAATGTTTCCTTTCCTATTGAAAAATAATCATATCTGCAATTTATTTGAGAAAATGCAATGGCTCCTGTCTTGCAGAACTGAAGAACCTGTTCAACATAATACAAGTGACATATGAATAACATATTAAATTGCATTCAACAATTTTCCTATTTCTATAGAAAATATGTAATTATTGCCCATTTCTGAGCACCAGACAATAGCAATCTTTAAGGAGCAATGTTAGAACTGTTATTTAATGGAATAATCAGAACCTTCTGTTTTATTTCTGTAATTTAAATTTTGTACTTTAGAAAGGCTCTAGATTGGTAATACTAGAGTTCACTGCTCTCTACGCCCTGAGCTGGCAATAAGTAAAACCTATAGCATCACAAATTTCTCATAGCAAAATGGTATGGAGCTCTGTATTTAAATGCATCAGTGGTCTTTACGCTGAGAAATGCAGCATGGGCCAGTGCAAATTACAATGGCAGTAATGTGAATGAAGCTATGCAAATTAGGTCAGCAATTCTGGGAAATAAAAGTTCTCCATATTAAAAATTTAGGACAAAATAAAAAATGAACAAATAAAGAAATGGTCAACACAAGGCTACTTACTGAAGGGTTTTTACTCAGACCAACTTCCTGACCACACAGAGAAAGGACATGTACCAGCTTTTCCTTTGTTCTTTTCTAGAAAACAAGACATTTCCAAGTTAGCATCTTTTTAACCACCTATTCTCCTGGTGACTAGAGATATAATTAGCAATTTTCAATTAGGAGGAAACGACCACAGAATGACTCATTAAGCGCTGAAAGGATCGCTTTCAGAACAACTGTGCATACAAGGAAACATAAAAGTAGCTGTTAATTATTTTAGTGCTTATTATTTTTAAAATAGCCCATTAATTCTATTGAGCTTAGTAAGAAAACATGGATCCTGCACATCACTTCAAAGGGATAACTTGAAGCCTAAAATTCAGAACATGCCTAATTTTTTTCTGGAGAATTGGTTCTGGAGTTGCTATAGATCAGCCATATTCAAAAAAAGGCAGTAAATACATTTATTCTGTATGGTTTTATTTTAACTAGCAGCTAACCAAAATCAATAACGCAATCAAACATGACTTTCAGGAGAAGCATTCGAAAGAATCTTTTATATCTGATTTCCCAAGGAAACAAGGTTTCCAAAATTTCACTTGCTGCCTTTCTGCTCCCCTTGCTAATGTCTGAACTCACCGTTTGGTTTCAGCTAAATCTGATATGGAATTAGAGGTCTTAAAGAGGTGCGTTTCGTACAAGTTAAAAGAAAAACACTGGCTGGAAAGAAGGCAGTCATAGCTCAGTCCATTACAGAGTCAGAGAAAGGTATTCAGGGGGCAGCTGCAGTCAGACCGCCATGCTGCTGCTGCTGGAGCACTGCTCAGGGCACAGAGGCCACAAGCCTTTAAGAGCCCCGTGCGTGTTAAACCCACTGCTCCAAGAGCAACTTGTTAACAAATAGCGGGCTTCTTTAAAGGAGATTACCTGTGAGTACTGGGGTCTCTTCCAGCTCACAGGCACAAGGACGTTGGAGTTGGAACCGGATGAGGTTGAAGAAGTGCTTCGGGTGACAGCCATCGCCCTGGGCTTACCGTCACGGCTGGAAGAGCTCTGCAGCTCGTCATACCGTCTCCCAATAATTGGAGTCTTAAATGAAAAATAATTATTTGCTAGTACTGTGCTTCACGGTGAACTTAGAATGGGGCCTATTATTGCAGTTGCCGGAAAAGATTACTCTGAAGTTGACAACCGTGAGAAAAATAAGGAGTGCACCAAATTTCATGTCACTTGGTATGCATATTATTTTCCACTGTGAACTCCCGGTAACTATTGCCATGCCTAGTATCTAGTGCTTGTCTTCCTGAGTAGCTAACAGTCATAAGCAACTGTCAGACTACCTTAAGAAGTAGCAAAGAAGAAAAAAGCTATGAAATTTATTCCAAGTCCAGATTTCTCCCACATACTGTTTTAAGGGTTTTTCCTAAAAATGCTGAGCACTCTGGCCCTGTTCCAGCACACGCTAAAATGCTTTCTTGGCTTGACAATAGAATACTCAGCATTTTCTAGAACTACACCTACAAGAAACAACTGGAAGAAACCCCGTACAACATGTCTTTTTATGTTGAAATTTCCTTTTAACCCAAAGTCTCACTATTACCTGTATAAAGAAGCCCATAATGCTAACAACACTCATGCAGGTGCTTAAATATTATAAAGTGATTTGGCCACTGAAGTCAATGGGACCTTTCAGAACCATAAAGTTAAAATGTGCAGAGAGTTTGTGGGATAAAGACTGCTGCAAAAGAATTCAGTCAGAAGCTACGCATTACTGCCTTAAAGGATACATTTTTCTGTTTAAACAATTACAGAGAACAGTGGCATCCAAGTATAAAATGCTTGCGGGGGAATTATATATATAGTTTATTTACATATTACATTTGGCATAGCTTTTCCATGTGAGTACTCTAAATACAACTGATAAAAAAATTTAAAGGAAAACCCAGAATGCCCAGAATGTCACTGTGGATCGAGAAGAACTTAAGTGGCTTTCTGTTTTATAATTCTCTTGTCTTTCCCAATTTTTCAACTTTCTTATGGAACTGCAACACACATTTCAAGATTATCAAACGCAAGATGAAAATTAGGGCTTTAAGTAGTAGAATTACGAACAGTACCTCTGAAATATCAAAGTGAAACTCTAGTGTCTTCCCTGGTAGCTCCTTGGAGGCACTGTTCCACACTCGATGTATCTCCATTTTGGAAAGATCGCTGTGTTGATAGGATGGCAGAACTAAACTGGCAGAGCGAGAAACTACCAACTTCAAGATATTCAAGGCTTCTCTCCAGTGAATGCTCTAGAAATAGGTATATTTAATTAGCAGCTTCAAAGAAAGATTTACCCATAATCAAGATCATTTACACTTCACAGTCATATTTTTTTGCCACATAACAAAAATGTGGAACTGGTATAGTATTTTTTCTCTGACCCTCTCTTGTCCAGTGACAAGGTGCATACTTACAGAATAATTTCAACAGCAAAGACCGAGACCCTTGCTTAAAGAGTCATTCTTAGGGAAGTGGCCTGCAAAGTGGAAGACCTGAGTGCAAGACCAATTTGGTAGATGAAGGGTTTAAAATCAGATCTCCCACCTGAATGCTTTAATCACTCGGCATAAGTGTAGGGGCCAGTGGAGAATCCTCACTCTTTAACCAAAGAGCTGACCTGACACAGGCACTTTATAGCTACGGCTCCCAAGCAGAGAGAGGTGTTTTCCTGCATGCCAAGAGTTAGCTGCAGAAGTCTCCGCGGGGAAGTGCTTACGCCCTACCTCCCTCCTGTATTTGTTCCTGGCTAAGTACACCGTTTCCGTTTCCTCTTTCCCAGTTGCCCGCTGTTCTCAAAGTCCCATTCTTACACTGCACGTCTGTATCTATATTACTAAACATACAAAAGCCAGGGACTGATCACTGCCTCCCAGCTAAGTGATGCTAACTGGCTGATATCTGTAATAGGGCTATCTGCCATGTCAGTGCAGACTTCTCTTAGGGACACTCAGAGCAGCTCAAAACAGTCAGGGAGGCAGCTAACACTTAAAAAAGGTGGTAGCTGCAGCCTAACTCCCACCACACAAGGAGTGTAGGGTTAGGCATCTTATTTGGGGACAAACAACTATTAGGCATCAGGATGTTTATGACTTAGGTATCACAATGAACAAACTTAGTCCCCTCTCCTAATCTAGACTTAAATTTTTACAAAATAAAATAACTTTTCATAGTCAATACTGCTGAGTTCCTGTTTTAATACAGAGAAGGTAAGGTATTCACCTGTACATATTTTTCAATGGTTTTTAGCACTTCCATGTTAAACTGTTTAACAGGAATAGCTGACAGGTCCATATAGCTGAGAAGACTGTAGATCATCTGTAAGAGGGACTGCTGCATGCCGGGAAGACCCTTTTCTAGCAGCTATATAAAAAAAAAAACAACATTGAAAATAACTACATTTTGAGATGTTTCTCCTCACAGAAAAAGTTACTAGTTTCATAAATACCATCCGTACCGTTAATCTTTCCTCACCCATTGATTTTGCAATGCCATTTTACAATCATTTTACAAGTGATGATGATACAAGTGTGAAATAATATATAGCTTTAAGTTGGGAGCCAACAATATTTTCATAATGAAACACATATCTTATATATATAACTTATCCAGAAAACACACTCAGAAATTGAGTAAACTGGCAGGTAAATTTTAGACTGTAACTGGGGACGAACAACCAAAAAAAAACAGGAGAATTTTTTTATTTCTACCTTTGCTGAAAGTCAGGAGAGGAAAAGAAAACCATGCTAAAGAAACAAAACTGCTAGTACTCAGACATCAATATGTATTTATCCAAATATAGTTCATTGCCAGTGTTCACGGGCTGTAACTGCCATGGAAACATTTTCTGTTAAGGAGGAGAGCAAGCTCTGTTACTGCAGAAGCTAATACAAAGAAGGGCTTGATCTAAATCCCGGAATTTTGTAACACCTGACTGTAATCCCGGAATACTAGAACCAGCCTTGGAAATGCAACTGCACTTAAACATATACATGGCAGTAATTCAGGAGGCATACAGACAGACATGCTGTGTTCATGCTGATGCACACATGTGTGAAATATCTCAGCTGAAAATTTCCTGGAAGGTAGTAGGTCCGTTCACTGGTAACCGGGAATATCCCTCCCTCCCCAAGGAATTTCAGAGGTAGTCAAATGTTGCTGCTGGAGGTTACGGGAGGTTCCAAGATTAAACTCTGTCCTTCGATGCAGGCCCACAAAAACCTTCTTCTAATACTTGTTACTAGAGATTCTAGGATCTAGAAAACAATTACATATAAAAAAAAGTACGGTGATTTTTGTCATTGGTCTTCCTTCAGAGAAAAACGTGACTTGTTATCCAAGGGGAGACTAGTCACACATTAGATGCCCTAGCTGCCCTGAATGAAGAGACTTCCTCTTTATATTGAATGAAAAGACCTCACGCGAACTGAAATGGAATGATCAGGTAGGACATATCTAACTAATCCGGCTAAATACCTTTTCTTTTGGTAATTACGAGCAGTACTTAGTGATGTGTAGAACAAAGTGGGCAAATACTATCAGTAGCATAACAGACAGAAGTTACTACACTTTACCTATTCCTCCATAAAAATAAAGCACAAATTTTAAAATTAAAGGTGGCAAGCAGCTCCAGTCCATGTATACCTCTACTGAGAGATAAAATATGTTTTACAATTCTTGTTCAAAACTGAATTATAGAGTTTTTCTTTCATTCCATTAGGATCTTGCAGAGGAAGGCTTGATTCCTTCTCTGTATATAGTTTCATATGACTCAGCATATGAGCTGATACATCGTTGTAGTCAAGGAACAAAGGCCTGGAAGAAACTACTTGGATGAGAGAAACAAGTTTTGTGCTCTCTGATGGAGGCTACTGTATCAGATAATAACTTTCAAAAAAGGAAAAAGAAATCCTGGGAAATAAGTGGGATTTTTGCCTCTATTGCTGGCTAGAAAGTTGGTCTATGGGCTTTGTCTCTGAAACCTTCTAATTTCCAGTCCAGTCCAGTCTAATTTCCAGTCCACTTTGTATAATTTTTTTCTTTGTCATTTATTCTTTGGCTTAAACAACTCTTGCCCTTAAACTCAGCACATTTGTGGATAGTACCAGTTTTTATTTGTTCAGTTTCATATATGTGGTCACTGATAGTCCTAGCGTATATTTAAATATATCATTGAATTTATCACAAAAAAAGAGTATTTCAGTATAAAAAAGAAATAGTAACTTTAAAATGCAGCTAGCAAAATAAAAACTCTTTTGCTGTCAGGAGTAACAAAAATAGGAGCAAGGTGGAGTTCTGGCAAAGCATCATTTGGGTTAGTGAGTTCCAAAACGAAGAGGTTCCTCTGTATTTGTAGACACAAATCCTAACTATTCTCAGTATTTTCTTAACTCTGGTTCATATGGACTGTTTTGAAAAAGTGTAGACTCTTCTCTAGTGAGGCTAGGGCAGGGTCTGGGGCTCCCCTGGGATCGGTGACCTGCACGCCATTAGCTACATCCCTCCTCTCCCTGCAGAAGCAGCTAGCCCAGAAGGAGGAGGAGAGCTGGGCCTCCACCTCCAAAGCAGCCTGGGCTGCTGGCGGCACAGGCTGCCACGGTGCGACTGCAGGCGACGGCTCCCTTTGCAGCACGTGGAAAGAGATGTTCAGCTGTGGGGCTATTTAGGCATTCAAACAAACATTTTCCATGCCCACTGAGGAAAGGGTAAAAAAAAGTCATCTGACAAACCACATCTGATGGATGAGAGGCCAGCTGGAAAATGCCTAATCTAGGACATTACATCCCTCACAACAGAGATGTTTTAATTTCTAGTGATCCCCTCATTTTTGATGAGTTATGAATGCTCATGCTTCCACTGCAAGCAATCCTCTAACAATGAGGAGCAAGAAACTTCTACCACAAGCACTTTACTACACACTAGGTGATTTCTTGTCTCTTCTTCTGTATTAGCTATTTAAGTTCAGGGATGATCATGGAGTTAATGAATGACTAGTTTAATATATGATGCATGTCTGCTCAGATATGCTCCTAAAATGATTGTGCTCTCATGCTATAAGGTTGATTTTTTAAATTAGGCAAAGCTCTAACATAAAATCACAGTAAGCTTTCAGCCTGTTGCTTGTATTTACGTGCCTATGCTAATTTTGGTAGCAGAAGTTCAAAGTTCTACTGCGCTATAACATATTGATTTCTCCTCATCTGTAAACTGAGATCCCCAAATATTTGTTTAGCACAGATCATCACTTTTCATGGATGTAGCTGTTAATATGTAAAACTGAGTAAGGAGCGCTGCTTGTCACTTTAAATTTTGGATAAGAACATCTCATTGAAACATCTCATTTCAAATCAGGATCATACTCTGGCTGACAAACCAAGTGCTTAATATCGGATAGGTTAAATGCAGATTTTTGTTCTGAATGGCAATAACTGAAGCTTTTCCTTCTGCTGAGAGTCATTGTTCTCACCATCTTAAAAAATTAGTGGTAGAAAGTCCCCTTCTGAAGGTATCTCTGTGTGTGGTAGGGTCAGCGTTGTAACAAGGATTTCCTTTTTTACTCTTAAGTGCTGCATGTCTCTCATGCCCAAGCATTAGGGAGTGACCTAGGACTGTTGACTCACAAGACACTCCAACCAACGGCTATAACATTTCCACTGTGGACTGCCCAGTAGCACTCTTAACCCCTTACGCTTTACATATTGACATGGCCTCCCACAGTCCCCATAGGAGAGCACACTGTTTATCCTGGTCTGGAGATCAACTCAGGAAAAGACAGTGCAATAATATTCTGATTGCTGGAAAAATAATTTTCATGGCCACAGCACACTCAAAGAGATGATTTCTTGCCCTTTCTGCCCCTTCCTCCAGACTGGAGACTACCTTACATCCATACAAATATTCCCCAGACAGAACTCAACAGAACTGCACTCAAGATAAATATGGAGAAGGGAACGCTTGTTTACTACTCTGTCATCCTATGACGATGATGCCCTGTAAGGAATGTGCCTTAATTCTGCCCACAAAACTGCCTGATGTGCTGTTAATATGTTAATATGATGTTAATCTACAGCAAGGGGAAAGTGCAAAGGAGGAGTCTCCATACACCTGCATAAGCCCTTTTTGAGGGGAGGGAGAAGACATGGAGTGGCCTACATGGAGGTGCAGCAGCACTAGCGCATGGAGCACTCAGGAGGAAGCAGAAGAACCAGGGGAAACTGAAACAAATGTTTTCCTAAGGCTAGGAAAACAAAGGAGGAAGAGGTTAAATTTCAATTTTTATAGCATTTGTTTTTTAGCTATGTAAGTTTCTGCCTATGAAGGGGATGCTTGCTTCTGGAGGATTCAGAGTCCTTGTGTTTGAAGAAGTAGTAATTCTTCAGAATACCTAAGCCTGAAAACAGACTGAAAATCCCCAGGATCCTCTTTCAGAGTCTCACAGCAGAATCACGGCTTTCAGCATCAATCAAGATCTGATATGATTGTTTAATTCAAGCCCCCATGTGCAAACAAGGTGAGGAATTGCAGCTTGAGGCAGCAGGGCCAAGTTTGCTCTGAAGTCTGAGTGAGGATGAGTGCATTCTTGCCCTTTAGGCTTTGAAAATCTGTGGGCTGCCAACACCAGAGATGCCTGCAGAGTATTTTTAGATCCTTTGGCAGCAGGGAAGAAGAATCTGCTAAAAAAAAGCTGTCCTAAAGAAGCTAGAGAATTTATGTAATGAATATTTAACTGCTTTCTCCCTGGATGACAGGGGAGACTCAAACCGGTTCCCTGTTGTCTGGAACTGAATGGAGAAATTGGAGAATTCTAGAGCAAAATGGTTTCCTGTCACTGATCGGACGCAGGAGGCGGAAAAACAAGGGGCCTCAGCTGAAAAACAGAACTTAGCCTTGGATCCCCCAGTAACCACACTGCATCAGCTTATACTCCACACATGACAAATGTTACGAGTTAGTGATGAGGGAAGCACAAAAGCTGGCAGCAAGACAGTCCATTCAATGTTAAGATAATGCACAGGAATTTGTATCAAGAACCACATCCTTACAGAGCAGATGATATAGGGCCAGCCTGCACTTCTTATTCATGTTGCTAAACCCTTACTGGTATTAGTGCTTCTCTTATTTTCCTCAGTGGGATCTAAATAAATGGTGTCCAGTTTATCCTTGTTTTGCTGTAGACATCTTACCAGCTCATGAGAGAAGATGCTTTAAGATGCATTAGCCCAGCTCTGGATTTTGCATTCAGTATTTATTTCATATAGTAGTTTTGCTTTTTTCTGCTAATTCCTGCTCTCTACTCTTTATTTTAAAGAACAGCCACAGAATTACAGCGCAGTAATCTTTAGCAAAACTTCAGCACTTTGGGTTATTAGGCAACAGAAGAATTAAAACAGTTTGGTCTTTGAAAACTTACCTCAGCCAAATACGTAACCATGCTCAAAGTGATATCAGCAAATGCTTCATGAAGGTAACGGCAAACCACATTTACCCAGGTGGCACAGTCCCTTGTATAGCTGTGTGTTTTATAAAGGGTCATGACATGAGCAAGATTTGAAAGCTTGGGGTTCTTTTCTTCCAGACAAACCTAATTAAATGTAAATGTCAAAATACATTAAGAACAAGGCAACTGTATTTACAAGGTTGAAGGAGGTACAATATCGAAAATAACTTTGATACCTGAGCAATCCTTTCAGCTACATCTTTACAAAACTGGTTTGGACCGTCAAAATGCTGAATTAAATGAGGAAGGAGACACAAAACATTCAACGGAAATCCTAGAAAACGAAAATACAGAACAAAATGTATAGTTGAGATGGCAGAAGCCACAGTGATCTTTAAGGTGGTATTTTGTGGGAGGTCATGGTATCATTACATTACATTACCCTCACACAGACTGTCAAATTGTTCACCTGACTGGCCACACCGCTTGAGAAGGTTTCAAAGCTAGGAGATGGCTCCTATGTTACCTGCCAGCTCCTGTCCTTACCATTAGCATAAGGGCTCTGTCTGGAGACTGGAATTCAGCTTTTTTTGTAGCAATTCACAGCTCACTTGAGGTAATCAATGAACTATGGCCAGCAGTTGTAATGGGCAGCTGTAACAAAAGCTGCTCCAGTTCAAGTACGAATTGAGAGATGAGGAATGAAGAAGCTGTAACCAAATACAATACATTTTTTGAAAGGAAAAAATCTAGACCTATGAAAATAGCCTTCTAACCATTCACCTTCTCTCATTTTACACACTTAAATAAGTGGCCTAATTTATAAGCATGATTTCCCTAGGCTTCCTCTATACTCAATGAAGAGAAAATGATACCTCCAGAAGGTACCTTTGCAGCCTGTGTGTAAATTGCCCAGCTATTGTCTGGAACATAGGTACCACATAGATGCTTAGATTTGGGTAGGCTGTTCACTGCATTCATCCTCTTACTCTAAGCTTGTTAGGACTTAGTTGTGAAGCCTGCAGAATTGTTTTAATATCTCTGCTTCTGACTGAGATTGAGGAGTAAAAGTCTGGAACAATCACAGATGCTCTCTTCAGTATAGTGAAAAGTGGTCACAACCTCAACTACATGATTCGGTATTTCAAAATATTACCTTATTTTCTTATAACCCAGCCCTCTCTCATCACTCAGCAACGTGCTACTGTAGTTTATTTAAAAAGGGTACAAGTTTTCAATATTTATATGTCTAGTAAAAATCCCGTGAAGCACTAATTTAAAATCAAAAGAAGTTGCAATATTCTGAAAGTAAGTCAATGGAAATACTGGCCAAATTAGGTTCTAGAAAATTTGACAATGCCTCTTTAAGTGTGCTTATTATAGCAACACTCAGGAACTTTATACCATGCCAGGCCCTAGAAATCAAATGTTAAAAAATATGTGATTCCTCCTGTCCTAGAACTTGTTGTGCAATACATTCACTTTTCAGAAACACATTATATTGCTATGAAATTTCCAAGAAAAACACCCAAGCCAAAGCAGAAGTACTAATGCACTACATTAGAACAGCAAAAGTGTCCTTTTTGTTTGTGTGCAGGTAATCTAATGAGGTTACTTATCAAATGTCAAAGCAACGGAAATGAAAAGAGAGAAAAGTGTATTGATTTTACCTATAGCTTGAGAGGAATCCACCATAGATATTCGCGACACTGGTGTCAGCAAACTGAAGAGCTGAAGTGTGAGATCAGTGGTAGTAAGGGAAGTGAATCCTTTCAGGAGTAGCTGCTGAAGCCCTGAGAAATCTGCCCACTTCAGCTGCCCTTGCAACTTCTCTAACTTCTCCCGGTTTTCAGCTTTATCTAGTGGCAAATGAGCCAGTAATTTATTCAACAGCCGCAATGCCATTAGATACTCAAACTCAAAATCTGATTCCATCAAAGCTACAGCAACCCAGAAGATGGTGGCCAGTAGGTTTGTTGGATTGTTAATATGGGACGGGTCAGTGAGACTGTCCTTTAGGGAAGATGAACTTCTGGTTTTAGAGGAGAGTCCTTGTTGGGTGCATGCCTGAATTCTGTCCAGTGTGGCACTGCGCGGTGGATCTGAGGACTTGTCCACATCTCCAAATTTTTTGGGTACAGAAAAGCTCCTCTGGTGCCTGCTTCGTTCAGCAGTGGCTGTGTTACTGCTTCCAGCTCCAGGATTCACATTCAGCTGTCCTGTGCTCTTCCGGTTTGCAGTCAGTTTGGTGCTCGATGTTAAATCTGGTGAAGATGAACTGAACCCAAAATATATAACATACATTGTAATGGGTGAATGCATATTTGGAAAATTGTACATATAGGATGCAAGCTAAGTACTTATCAAAATGTAAATAAATATTTAAACAGAAGAAGTAAAACACCTTATTGTATTCTGTTGTTTTTAAACCAGAAGTGCTCACAGATCTGACTGAAGTGAGGTTCGTGTGGCACTGAACCAAACCAGAGTAGGACAGCTGACAGTCTAAGCAGATAAGAACAGCATAGAGACAGAAGAGACAGAGCAGGGAAGTGACTTCTGGAAGTGCCCATATATTGGAGCTGTGGTAAAACTGAAAACTGAATTTTGCTCTTTAAAATGCCCTTGTCAGTGGATCAAACCCTGAATTTGGCATGGTTTTCAGGCAAACTGCATAATGGTGGGTGACTTACTGGCTAATGCAAAGAACTGCGGGAACTAAAACCAGTGCATTCTATGCAGAATCACAGATTTGCCACACTACCAGCAAGAGACCTGTCAGGAGGCTGTCTAGGCTCTCCTCACTAGTACAGGTCCCTCAGAAACCTTGCTGTCATTGCATCCTCTGCCTGTATCCTAACATCTTGTCAGGATGGCTTACATAAAGCAGAGCTCGTTCAGGTTCAGGGACTCATGACACCTCATGGACTATAATGTGATGATTTAGACAGTCCCTATCAATTATCTGTACAAACATGGTACATTGATGCATTCAATGGAAGTTAGTTCCGGAGAACAGCTAATTCCTGGTTTTCCATGCCTATTCTCACTTCATAATACTGTAAGCACCTGCGGTCTATAATCATTGAAGAGGATCTTACGGAACTACTAATGTCAGGATAAAGAATATTGCATCCCACTGCTTTCTGGACTGTTTCCTCTTCTCTGCTCCATCTTGCCCTTTCCCAAAATGTGCACTAAAGAAAGATGTCACTTGCGATAGTGTGTCGCAAGTAAAAGCTGTAATTCTCCACTTCCACTCTGTCACAAAGCAATTCCTCTGTCCTGCCTTTGCAGCATAATACATAGCACTGGGTCTGCTAGCTTGAGAAATGACAGCTCATGTGCTGTTATGCTGCCTGTGAAGTTTCGTAACTTATGGATTTTTTCCTGACACGTTCCTCATTCTGTTGTTGTCATTAGGAGTCAGATAGACATTAATCTCCCCTCAGTACCGTCAACAGCTGTCTTACAGAAGGAGCTTGCAATTTCCCTCCATGTACCTTTGTCCCTTCCTAGGCCAAGGGTCTTACAAAGATGGGCTATGCCTCTGGCAGAGTACACAAGTTATCTACATTTGGGACAGAATTCTCTCTAGTTTTATTGAGGAGAACAAATCATGTTCTTTTCCTTGTTGGGGAATACTTCACATGAGAATGATAGGTTATGTGAAACCAAATTTCTAAAAAACACACTTTTTCCTAAATATTTTTTCAAGTATATGGTACAAAAAATAAAGGTACAAAAATACAGCATTTCTAAAGAATATTAAAATACGTTAGAGACAACTGAAAGTAAGACAGAATTTATAATACATTGGTAAGTCCCACAGCATTACTTCAACTATTGCAAAATTTGGCTCAGGTGTGCTCTTGGTCTAGTTCTATAAGTGCTACAAATAAGCTCAGCCTGATCAAAATCATTTTATGCTGTCAGACTGCAGAACTGTACACTTCACATCATGAGATATTTAAAAAAAAAGATATAGTTAAGAGGTTAAGAGAATAGGCTCTTACCGAGATAACACTGTCAAAAGATCACTGTTTTTCAAACAGTCAGACAGATTATCCACAGCAGCTTCCAAAGTAAGTAGTGCTTCCATTACATAGCCCTATCAATACATGAGGATAGCCATTTCAACAAATACGCTCAAAAACATTCAGTTGAAAACAAGAAATAGCAATCTAATGAAAACAGAATGTATCATTTCTCTTGAAAAAGAACAACATTCACACCAATGCCATTATGCTGCACATTAAAAGGTCACTACAAGTGTATTTTATTTTCTGCCTCTGAATGATCTATGAAAGCATCTGAGAAGAGCAGATATCTCATCAGGGGACTGGTAATAGCATACAGAACCTCTGACTTGCAGGTCACTGATTTAAATTCTGCACAAGCAGTTGTGACAGAATATTACTGTCATCTTGTGGCAATTTCATTACCTAAATGCAAAAGTAAAATATGGAAGTGATGTCAATCTACTTCTTATTAAAAGTTTTTTTAGTCTTGAATCTCATAATAAATAGGATCTGACTATAGACATTTCAGAAAAGAGCAGACTATATAGCTGTATAGCTACCCCATTCCTTAAGAGAGGAGTAGATTAAAATAGGTGTGTTTGGATAAGGTAGGTAAGTCAGGGTAAGTTCGTATTGCTCTGGATGGTATGGTTTTCTTTATTCTAAAAGATAAATTTTTAAGAAATGAGACGGTGTGTACTCCTGGTTGTAAGACTACATTGGCAGATAAGATGATGGGCTTCTTAAGCACAAATTCATGATGTGTAGAGTGAAAAAACAGTCATCACGATTTCATTTTGTGTCACATTTGCTACGTGTTCTCTAGATGTTCTCTTTAGTGGAAAAGGTACATGTAGGTTGAGTAAACTCAGAGCTACATTTTTCTAAGGCCACATTCTAGCTTGCACCACTTAATTCCAGAATACCTTGTTGAAACTGTTATCTTCAAATAGATATACTTTAAATCAACAGTATTACAAAATATTATGAATCACACTTACGTACCTGAATCTCATCTCCATGCTCTCCAATAACTTCCACCAATCTTGACAGGAGATCAGACAGCGCATGTGCAGAAAGAGGCTGCTTTAGAGCCCTGAATATCTGGAAAGAACGACCTGCGTAATGTCGTGAAGAACTTGAAAGAGCTGTTTGTAAAGCAACTTCACTCAGATGCTGCTCCAAATGAAAACCTGAGCAAAAGAGTCAACATTGTCTATGTGTCAGTATTTTTTTAATGGCAATCTTTACTATGGGGCATATACAGGCTGCATCAACAGTAGGGGGAGGGTATGCACTGCAGTGTACCCTGCAAACCCACTTCTGAGAAGCCGAAATGTCTTGTTTTGGTAGAATTTCCCACTTCTTACATTCATTTCACATACCATATCAGAAAACAAACTTTGCAAAGCCAAAATTTTGAATCTGGAAATGTTTGCTTTGTTATGCAGAAACTCTTCATTCTGATTTCAAATTTTTTACAATTCCGTGACAAACCTTGAAGCCATCCCTTATTCTTACTGGCAGCAACACAATAACTTCTGAACATTTCGAAATCTAAAGCCATGCTGACTTATAAGTCTTTGCATTAGCTTCAGTAGGCCTTGGATCAGATCTTACATAGAAGTACTGATGTCGTGTTCTGCTTTGATCTCAGAAGATATTTACAGGACATAGAGGAGTTTTTATCAGGCGGAATCATCAGCGAAAATGCTTCCTACCAACAGCTTTGAAGGATCGTTTGATCTAACATTTAGCCACAGTCCAATCTAACATGATTTTTTCAAAAGCAATTGCTTAATATGTCGTACACCCTTCTTAACACATGCAATATGTTATGCTTCTGCATAAGCAGGTCCACTACAAGAAAGAGCACAGGATAAGCATTTACTGTGACCTTGATGGAATAGTCTCATAGCTATGAAAGAAAAAAATCTTACTACCTGACTTGGAATCTTTAAATACAGATACAACATGACGCAGAAAATTAGTGAGCTGTTCAGCACTCTTGGTGTTCTGATTTTTAGGTGTGATATCTTCATGGCACCAAAGTGGACCAAATGCCCTTAAAGAAATACATAACAAAGTGCAAAGTTTCTTTGAGTTGTCTGAAAGAAATGTAATCATTTAAAATATATAAACTGTAAATGCAACCAGATATTTCCAAGGCTATAGCCTAGAAAACTTGTGACTGAACACAATTTTATGACCAAAATCACAGAATCACAGAATAGTTGAGGGTGGACAGGAGATCTTCTCTGGAGAGCTTCTGGTCCACCCCTGTCCACTTATGTTAAAGCAAGTTACCTAGGACCATGCTCAGTTTGGTTTTGAGTATCTCCAAGTATGGAGATACAGCCTCTGGACAACCTGTTACAGTGTTCAACCTCCGTCACAGTTTTCTTACGTTCAGATGGCATTTCATATGTTTCAATATGTGCCCGTTGCCTCTTGTTCTGTCACTGGCACCACTGAGAAGAGTCTGACTCTGTCTTCTTCATAACCTCTCACCAGCTATTTAAAAACATTGGTGAGATCCCTCTGAGCCTTCTCTTCTCCAGGCTGAACAGTGTCAGCTTTCTCAGCCTCTCCTCAGGTAACAGATGCTCCAAGCCTTTAATCATCTTTGTGGCCCTTCGCTGAACTCAATCCAGTAGCTCCATGTCTCTCTTGTATTGGGGAGCCCAGAACTGGACCCAGCACTCCAGATGTGGCCTCATCAGGGTTGAGTACAGCAGAAGGATCACCTCCTTCGACCTGCTGGCAATGTGCTTCCTAATGCAGACCAGGATACCTTGGGGCTTTTTGGCCCCAACGCAAAGGCTGCGAGAGCACACTGCTGGCTCATGGTCAACTTGTTGTCCATCAGCACCACCCAGTCCTTTTCTGCCAAGCTGCTTTCCAGCTGATCATTCCCCAGCGTGTAATGGTGCGTGAGGTTAATACAAATAAATAAATATTCCTTTTTTGTATTTTACAGAACTTCTCATTTAATATGTATTTTATACCATTTGAGAGCAGCATAAACAAATCCCTGTTTTTGATTTTTTAGAAAATAGGATCTGCCAGTTGCAGTGAGCAATTAAAATAATTAGTTAAAATTAATTAAAACTAGTTTCACCATGGCCTTTCGTGTCACCCTGTGTACCTCCCATCTCATTTTATAATAATAATACTATCAGTCAATTAAACATTTTATTCCTGTCAAGCAATTTTTTTTTCTAGTGTTCCTGACACTGCAATGCTTTTAAGTACCTACCTACTTCTACAGGTATCAAAAAAGAGGAATGGGAGTCTGTAACTACTATACGAACTCAGTCATTTTCCTTTGAGTCTTTTAAGTTGCTACAAATAATTGTAGAGAAGACATGAAACTATGCATTTCAAGTGCAAACAAATGTAACCTCTGCTTATCTCCATTACCTGGTTGTCAGAAACTCAATTAATTTGTTTGCTTTCTCATCTGTTTCAGCAGCAGTGTCCATGTCCTCAATCTCTTGTGTAATCTGTGGGAGATTTCCACTGCTGCCTCCCAGACTGATACTGGAGGAGGTAGAGCTGGAGCTCAAGCCGGAGTCTGGCACCGGAGATGACTGGTACTCCCGCAGAAAGTCAAAGCCACCTGTCAGCCGAAGAGGAGGAGATAAAGCTGGAATGCACGACTTATGCCAGCGTTACAGATGAACATGTAGGCCAAGCAGCTCTTTTCCAACAGTAAGTAGCAGAAACCTTCTACTGCAAAACACAAAAAACCTGCAGAATGCAACAACCCTCAAACTCCAATGGGAGTGAAAAACTGGTAATACGTTTTCAAAACCTGCAGAATCTAATATAAAATGAAAAATATCAAAGTTAGGATAGTTTTTCACTGCACAAGGGCTACTGTATTTGAAAAACAAATGTTTCCTGGCATTTTACATTCAGATTTATGCCTTTTTATAACCTGCACTTTTCTTTCGACTAAGTCCACATGAAGTTCAGCTCATTTATCTGGGCTAGTATGATGCTGAAAAACCTCTGCAGGGTGCAATTTTTAGGAAAATGATGTCCTAATTTTACAGATGTAATGGAAACTAAGACACAATGGTTAAGGCTTCCATTCCATTCCTTTAATAACTGTAAACATGGGACTACTCATATTAAATATTTTCAGTATTAAGGTTAAATATCTCAGTAAGTGTTCACCTAGGCCAAAAGCTTGCCACCAATCCACAAGTCAACTTAAGAGCTGTTAAAAGAAAGACGAGAAATCAAGATCGGTTTCCTTAAGGTTGAACTGTTAGTCACCTTCGGCTATATTTATCATAGAAAAATTGGCCTTGGGAGAACACAGGGAACAGGAGGTGCCTCTCTACTGACAATATCCATTGCAGGTCAGGAGACTCCTAATTTAGTTGCCTGACATTATGTAGGATGAGCCCAAGCTCAAGTATTTTCAGTTAGGATTCTTTGCTATAGCTACTTATCCACATTCTGACTCTTCATATGAGTTGATTAAAAAACAATTCAATTAAGAAGTTTTGATAACTTCTTAGACACAAGAGACCCAGACACAGGGTACTAATTATGTTTTTCAGAGACAGGAATATAGAAATATTTCATTCTGGTAGAAAAGCAATAATATAATTTAAATTATATTTAATAATTCATGGACTTACATCAGAAAAGAGATCTACATAGCTCCAAAGGGAAATTCATGTGTTAGGTAATTTTCCTCAGACTTTATTCAGAATGAAAACTAAAAACCTCAGATTAATTTATTAACCTGAAATGCATTTATTGAATTCCTTCTGCTCATTATTTTTAAATCAATTTTTCATATCCTATCAAAAAAGAGTCATCAATTACCAAGTAGCATTCTTCATAAAGTCACACTGTTTATTGATTTTGAATATGTTGCTAAAGAACCACTGAAATGACACTAATTCGGTAGTTGTTCCTTCTTCCTCCTTTTCTCCTAAACTTCCTCACCCTCCCCCAGACAAATAATCCTACCTTCATATATCTACACTGTTTCTGTGATTTCTTCAATTCTGATCAGTATTCTTGCTTTTAGCAATATTACATGACAATAGTAAACCAATCCCTTAAAAACAGGGAAATTGCAAATGGTTAATAGAAGACCCATCTCAGCAGAGGTCTGAGGTAAGCCTCCTAAAGTAGAAATAGATTTTAGGATAGAAATGAAGTGCATCTGTGATGTAAAGTAGGCTGTATATTATGTGAAAATTTAACTGAAGAATGGAAAATCTGGGGAGAATATTCCTGCTGCTCTTCTTGTATTGGAATTATTTATTCTTTTTTCTTTTTTTTTTTTTTAAGGTTGAGGACTGATTGCCCTCATTTAAAGCAGTCCTGGCTCCCTGAGGGGAAAGTTAGGAAGTGATTGGTCATACTCATGTCTAAACCTCTACATTATATATTTTGCCTTACAGCAGAAAGCTTTCTTGCTATCTTAATAAGTTCTATCTAGTAACAAAAAAAGTATCTAGTAACAATTTGGGTGCATCTTTAGGGAAGTTCACATGGAATTAATACTAATGGAAACTGTACAGGTTTGCCATTTCACTATTTTAATTTATCAATAAATTGTATTTTAGAAAAGTAGCCTTGACATTCCACTTCCAAAAACCTGTCAGTATAATGCAATGTTCTCATCTTGTATTTTATTACCTGTATAAAGATATTCAGGTAAATATGCTGGCTGTACTGTCAGAGTCTTGGTCTCATTCATCTCTCTGGTCTGAAGGAGCACTGATGCAATGGCTTGATAGTTGCTATTGCAAGATAATGCAATCAAAAGGTGAAGCAGTAACTTTTTGCTGTGTTCAAAAACCTCAGGGCGGTAATGGTCAAGACCTAAAAGAAAAGGTTACAGCAATCGCTGAATATGAAGTAATAATAAACAAGTTCACATTCCAGAAATAGCAAAAATTCCAAGGTAGTTCATGGCAACAGTGCAGAACAAACAACAAATACAGTATTTCAGGCCACAGTTACCAGTGTTTTTACTTCAAGTGTATGAGCACATTTAGGTTCCAGATTGAGGTCCCACCCAGCAGGTACAAGCAATGTGTGGCAACGAAACTAAAATTTATGCATTCTGTCGCACTGCAGTGTTTATTTGACAAACTTGGAAACCCTCTTAAGACGAGAAATTCTTGATGGTGGTTATAATTACTTTGCTCTCCTCAGTATCTGGTTTTCTTTCACAGACTGTCAGTTTTACAATGAATGCAAACTGAAAGAGGTAAATACTGATTTATTAAGAAAGGAACTAATAGACAAAATCCCTTAAAAAACAACTTCAAGTACCAATGGGACAGTATGAGAAAATTAGTCACTAGCTCAGTGTGCAAAACGGAAACAAAAGGTCCAGCACTGAAAGACTCTGGTCACCTTAGCACTGCTATGCTATTTATATGCTTGCTCCCAGACTTTAATACATTTTGAATAAATCACAAGTTACAAATATAAAGGAAATAAGTTTTCGTAAAATATTCTGCGCTATGCGGTTACAAACTCCTTTCGATTCTCCTTCAGTATCTTCTGGGATATCTGAAAATACTTTCTTGCGTTTAGGAGCGGTTTCAGTGCTGAACAGTGGAGCTGTTGGCTTCTTCAGCACCTCTTTTCTCAGGATCTAGCCCACTTTAAAAAGTAGCTCCTTCTTCCCTCTAAGTGGCAGCAGCCAATAGGTCTTTCAAGTGAGGTGTTTTCTAGTATATTTCAGTTGCACTGGTCTTTGTCAGACCTGCAAAAATGCAGCTGCTAATACTGCCATGGTCAAAGCAATGTGCCTTTGGTTCCTATGGACAGGATTCCCTGTCTCAACCATCCACCCATAGTGTCCTCCAAAAGAGCCACTAGAGCTCGTGTCTTGTTTCTCCATTTCCTCCACTGGCCAAGAGATAATTATTCCATCCTACCCTATTCTAACGTAAATTTTCAAGAGTTAAAAGGGTATAGAAAGTTTTTATTAGTTGAACATAAGTTCTGGATTGGCAGCACTTGTCACCGAATTCCTCTATCTGTTAATCTTCAGGGTTGTGTGAAAGTATTAACTTAGACATGGCAACAATGAAGTAAGAAGGACAGCTCAGTCCTTGTGCTCCTCCAGCACTAGGCCATTCTTTACTCGGAAGAGTGCCCAATAGCGTAAATTTGTTTTGTGATATGGACACACTTCCATGAGAAAGTCGTCTAGCTGCTCATTTCACACTGGCTGGCACAAGATTTTAATCAGCAGTGCTTTTCATGCACTAGTAGGTTCACATCAACAGTCTGTCTCACTACTTCACTCTCAGTACTATCCAATATCCTCTTAAACATATTTTGCAAAATTCTTTTACTTCAATATTTTCCCACTCCTTCCAATACATGAAAGGATACAGGCTCTCAAGCTAGCCAGCATACTATTTCCAGTTTCCTTTTCAGTCAGGTCCACTTGCCTGCTCACACTTGAACGGGACAGAAGTACTTCATATTCAGTCAATCACATTCATACCTTTGACTAACATGTTTAGCATTACTCCCTTAGATCCTAACAAAAGAGGTCTACTTCAAACTACAGAAAAGTTTTCCACTGGAGGTTTAGCAACTCTTGAGAAACTGAGCTTGAAACTTGGAAGCTATGATATCATTTTAGGCCTGGTATGTCTAACCAGTTACATTTAACTTTAATTTCACATTTGAGAATTGAGAGCTCCTAGCCAAGGGACTGTCTCCAATGGTATTCACAAATTTCTATTTATTTCTTGTGAAATACTGTAATGTTGAAACATTACTGCAGGAACAAATCAGTAAAGATATTATTATAATGGACTAGTAATACTATAACTCTGTTTCTGCATGTGTATTTGCTCAGCTTCCCGATGGCTCCTTATAATTGTCTTAACTGAAGTGGCCACCTTGCTGCATATTATTCCTGTCTTAAGTTATTTATTCATTCTTGTGAGAATTCTTAACTGTATATACCAGTTTTCTCACACTCATTACAAACCAGACCAAAGAGGCTGTTCGATCAGTTGCTGGTTATTGATTTGATTCATACATGTAGCCATTTCTCATTTAGTTCCCTCTCAAATTTGAAAAATTTACAGCAATACAAAAAGTAGTCAAAGATTGTTACAAGCAGCCACAAAATTGGATTTAACTTTTCAAAAATAATAAGTGAAGAAGGCATGTGAAATGTCATAATGGAAATGACCCTAGAAGCCTGATTTGACAAGCTTCTGGCTTAACTTTTGCTCTGGTGTTTCATCAGAAGTTTGTTGAAATTGATGTACCAATATACAGTACTTGAGTATGTATGTGATGAGTGTGCATTTTCCAACAAAAACTTATTTCATTGAAAAATTTCAAAGAGAACAGTTGTTAACAGGGTAACAGCATAGGAGAATGAGGTATCTTCTTCAGGTGTATACACTACAGTATATCACATATATTCCAGCACTGTTCTGTAAACTCCCAACTTAATCTCTTTGGTCTGCTGAACAACAGACTCTTCTCAGATTGCTAGTGAGTAGACTTAGTGGCAACTATGGTGTTCAGATGAGGACTGCCATCTCCAGTTATAACCAATTTATTTCACAAGTGCCTGGCAATGTTTATTTGTGAAAAGTATTATTTATCAATCATGAAATTTAGGTAATGGCTTTATAACACCAAATAATCTTGTGCATTAAAAAATCAGGCCACGCAGTCCTCACTCAGACTACTAAGTGTCAGGATAAGGAACATATTGGTATCATCCTCTAGCTGAATGGTGTTACAGTCAAGAACAGACACAGCAGTGGGGAAAAAGGGTTGCCTCTAAACTCAGTCATATAAGGGAAGACACTGAAGATAAGGTATACCATGAGCAGTGAAATTAATGAAGCTTGCTTTCCAATGATTTGTGTCCTACCTTCACTATCTTTGCACTACAGTGATCTCAGTTCTCTTATATAATATTTTTGAAAGGCAAGAGACAACACTTGTGTGTGTAGCCTGAATATAATACATGTGCTGACTGGCCAGCTGCCTTTCAAAAAGCAAATGGTACAAAGGCTGAATTTTGGCTAAATTTGGCCAAAATACTCAAAGGTCTCAAAGTTTCGAGACTACCTGACAGACAGTGTCATTACTGCAGGCCTGTTTCTTCTAGAAAATCAGAATAAAAAAACATATAAGGAAAACTCACTTCCACAGCTTCAGCAAAACTAAAAATTTTAGCAAGGCTAGGAGTACATTTATACTTCTTGTTCTGTTGGTCTTACCTAAGAAGAGTGCATGTAGCAATAAAGGGAGGTGAAGGGCCCAATCTTCTCTCACACTGTGATCCACTACCATCTCAGTCATGAAGATGACAGCAATATTGCACCTGGCAATCAAATCACAGTATCAGTTTGAAATCTCTTGGAGATGGGAAAACAGTGACATGATGGCTATTTTGGAATAAATAAACAACAATCTTCAACACTTTCAAACATATAACCTTTCTTCTTAATATTACTAATATCAAAATAACGTAGTTACAGTATTCAGCAGGTAGGGACCCGTTACGGAAAACAATACCATTAATGCCAATACAAATTATGTAAAAGAGGAGTTTCAGAATAAGCATAGCCTAGTTAGACTAAAAGATTAAGGGGAAAAAAGTGCTATGAATAACAATAACAGAGGTTTGGGAAAGACAAATTTTCCTTTTCTGTTTTAGTTTTTTTGCTTCAGTCTGATTCCTACCATAAAGTGATGTCCTACAGTGTAAACAGACTTTAAGGAGTGCGGTAGAATTGCAGGTGTTCCCTGCACATATTTTGATTTTAACACTGAAGTATGGGAAAGCAGAAGAAATGGAAGATACTATTCTCAGTAGTTCTGAGTGGTGGGACATTTAGACTGGTGTTGGCCAATGCAATTAGGAAGAGGAGACATTTCAGTGTCTGAAATACCTGCATGAGAAACTGCTCACCTGTGAAGGGGTCCGCGGGGTGTAATAGTTTCTGGGAGGTAGTCCACAAGCGGTGCCCAGCATCCTCCATTGTAAGGCATGGGCAGGGGATGTGGCTGTTTGGTTTCAACAATATTCAACAGCCAGCTTGTATAAGGAGAAACAGGATCATCTATATGGAAAAGTATTAAAACAGAGCGCATAGAAAACAAGTCTGGTTAACCATTTGGAAGAAATAATAAAATAGAGTTTATGCTAATGCATGGGTTCAGCTGTTTATAATGTGATCAGATGACATTAGGTTTGCAAATTCCTGTGTTCAATAATAAGTGATGCATTTTTTAATCCCTCTTTCACACTGCTGGAAATGAAACACAGATTCCAGGCAGACAGCACTGAACTGTATGATGAACTGCAACTGAATCCGTGCTGTCGTTTCAGTAGCTTTGAATCCAGATCACAAAGCCCCAAGCAACAGGTCTTCCCTTCAAAAATGAGCGGGAAGTTCAGCCAACGAAGCTGCTGTAGCAAGCCATCTGCTGCAAGGAGCCGTGTACCAGCGACACATTCTTGCAACTCTCCACCAGGGCCCTGCTGAGTGATGCAACAAAGCCAGAAATCGGATGTCCTGAATTAGGAAAGAGACATAGGGAATGTGAAAAACATCTTCGGTGTGGTAAATCTTTTTCAATGGGGATGATGTATCTATTGAATTTCTCAAATATGTATTTAATTTTACTTCAGTCTGACAGCTGCTGTATGTTAATAAGCAATAGATTTTTTTTCTTCCACCTGTTTCTTTGCAATGATGTGGGCAAAGTAAGCTACTTCCATGACTTTCTGTCTTGTGTCCGCTGCATAGCTTTGTTCATGTTTCCTGCATTTTGCACTATCTCACTCTTATTTTCCCATTAGTCAGTTTTTATTTCTCAGTCCTGGTAGTCCGGGATATACTGCCACAGAAAACATCTTCTTCAAGGCTGTTCTTGACATATATCCAAACATTATCCTTCTTGGACTTTTAGTGAGAACATTATCTTTGCTTTTTTTTGCTTTTTTTTTTTACATTTTTACATTTTGAGTAGGTTTGAAACTCTCAGCATTATTCTCAGCAATTTTTTTTTCCTACAGACTATATCTTATGTTTGCAGACTTTGATACAAGAAAAGAACACTGTTTTGATGCCTGCAAAAGCATCAGTAAAGCACCAGTGCCAGCATTTTCTAATACAAGTCACTTTGGTTTTGACAAAATGCCTTCAGCTTTCCTCATCTTCAGGAGCCCTTCAATGTAGTAGCAGCTCCTCCAGTTCTTCCTAAAAGCCAACTTTATCCTTCCCATTCTTCAATGTTAGTCTTCCAAGGCATACTTTAGTTCTTTGTTTCCGATTTTGACCTCTATTTAGTTCTCTCACCTTTAGAGAATGATATATTATTTAAAGCTAAAGCAGAATGAACTGAACTATTAATGTAGCAAAGTATAGCAATTTCACATATTTGTCTTTTGAGGATTAAGCAGATCATATTAGTCAAATGCTTTTCACATAAAAACCACTGCACAGTTATTATTTATTGCTACCGATTTAACTGTTTCATATAAAACTGCTTCATGAAGTCCACACCGAGACCTAGCTCCTCACTCATGTTTTCATTAGTTTATGTGCGGACTGAGAAAAAACCAGAAGCAGCACTTTGTGCCTTAACATTCAATCTTTGCAGTAAGGCTTGGGCAAAAGAGTTTCTGAGCTGGAGAGATTTGTTTCCTAATTATCTCCCTAGGGATACAGTTACGCTCAAGTAGACAGGAGGGAAGAGAGAAGCTGTACCACCAACTCCTTAGCAGTCTGGGCCTGCCAGAGGGAGTAAGTTGCACTTTCTTAATGGAGGTTGCATTATTTATCTTGCAGAATGACAAATGATATAAGAATTATTCCTTCTTTTTAGAGTTCTGTATAAATGTGAGTAACTAAATAAAATATATTTTATTTTACATCTAGGCATTTGTGTATTTGCAGAAGGAACCCCTCTGAGAAGCAAACGTTGCATAAATATTCACAGAACTATAAAGCTTGCAGATACAGGCAGGGAAAAACATCTGGAAAGTGGCTTGAGGAGACATTTCAAAAAATCCAAAGAAAACTTCAGCATTTTAAAACTTCTTATTACCCAAAGCCCTAGTCAAAACCAGCTGCTTGTGAAGAACATTTTGACAACATAAACATTGTTCTGTTTTGAAAGACAGTTCATGCAGATCAGAGCAGCACTGGTGCTCCAATTAACATCTACGGAAGAATTTTTAGTAGCTGCAGCATTAGCAAGCCATAAGAAAAACATGACAACTGGAGGAAAAAAGATTCAGTTTAATATGTTGCAGACTTTTTTTGAATATTTAAATACTACAGTGTGTAGACATACAATATTCTGGAAATACTGTACTTCATAATTATGAAAAACAGTTACTGATATCATTAAAACTATCCTATTGTATCATACTTGACAGTATTTCAACTTTTTGCAGAAAGGTATATCCAAAAAATTATTTGGACAAAGCAAGATATAAAACCTTTGCTGTTAATCTCAATATACTGTCAAAAACTGGTGTTCTTAGCACCACAAGACATTATGGCCTTTACATTATTTGACTTGGCTTTATTAAGTCAGGGACAAAGTCTATAAAAACGCATTGCCTTTTTTACATTTGGTTAGGGTCTAAATGAAATCTGTAGATTGGCTTCATTGCAGTTAATTACAAAAATGAATCCAAACCATCCAGCTACTAAAACTTATACTGTAATTCAACAGTTGACTGAAAGACCTTAGTTTCCTTTGAAATCTCTGCTCATCATCAAGTGTCAATTTATATTCTGTTCAGCAGAAACACATAAAGAACAAGCACGCTCAGGAAACCTATTTCACTCTTCCTTCTAACAGTTTTGCATGGTGCAGCCAGAACTCGGCTGCAGACGGCGGAGAAAAGCTTAAGAGGATATACAGCCCCATTTTTGGAATCTCCTCAGTCTCTTTCTCATGTTCATATACTGGCACTAGATCTGAAGAGAAATACTGGTGAAATGCTCAATTTAAAGTGCTCGCTGTAATGCTTTTGGAAGCCCTTTGTCCTGCCATGAGAGAATGGTTCTGTGTTTTGCTGTTTGGAGGTTTCTCTGCTGCCTCCTGCTGTGAAGTTCTCTGGCCTTTAAATAGGTTTGAGTGAGGCCATCTCTAAACAAAGGGAATCAATTAATTTTAAAGGAGGTACAGAGGTAAAATAGAGACACTCCGTGTAAGGTCATGCTACATTATATCCGTTTATACAGAGCTTTAAACAGAGATCCTCCACCAGTCGTAAGAATGTTTCCCTCTCCCACCATAAACCATAACCCACCAGAAATTTCACCAAACCGAACGTTAGAACTTACTTTTGTCATCGTCATAAGATCCTCCAGAGCTATTACTGTACCTTGATTCTAGTCGAGTATGTGCTCTGATTACATTACTGAACCTTCAAATACAAGAAAAATCTTCATTAAAAACATAGACTGATACTAAACATCTGGAATATATGCTTACTCCACAAAGAAAGCATCTTTATTTACGCTATATATCAAAATGTCATCTCTTTAGGCATACATTTTTATATGAAGCATAATATAGTGTTATTTCATTTCATAAAAAAGATTCTTGCAACCAACTTCTGACAATTTCTAATAGTGTGCCATTGTGTCACAAGCTTGTGAAATTCAACGGGGGGAAACTCTCATGAGGCAAACGTACGCTTTTCTTGAAGCAAGAAACTGTGGTAAGGATGGACGGAAATATAAACTGTTAATTACTAGTATGTTATCACAGGCCCATGTTCATTGGCAAAATTCTGGCAGCCTGCTAAAACAATAACTGACTGAACAGTCTGAAGTCAAGCCCACGCAGTTATCAAAGCAGCAAAAGTAGCAGCAGATGGCCCTCCCATAGGAAAACGCAGGAGCTGCCAGCGTAGAGCTAGCTGAGGCGCTAAGGGACTTGAGAGCCCGAGCACAGTTCCCACAACTGTCCTCAAATCTGCCAAACACCCGCGATGATCTAACTTTGGCTGGTGAGCTCCTTTGGCTCCTACCACTTTCTTCTACTGTCAGTGCAAACAGGCCTGAACAGGAAATGAGAGGAGCCGCGCTAGAGGCTCATGCTAGCAACGATGTAAAACTTCGCCTTTTCTGCAAAGCTAGGAAACTAGTTATAAATAACCATGTCAAAATAACGGTATCAAACAAAGCCAGCTTTAAGGTTCTCTGCACAACATGCAATTTGCTGCTAATATGCATACACCTTAATGCAGGGGATTTAATTACACATTCACATATTATGCTGTTTCCAAAGCACACCTGTCTCATTAGGACACAATAATTCATAAGGAGATGCCATAAATGCATCACGAGCCATCTTAATTCTGCCATTTTCTGTCTTTCAAGCATCAGATTCCCTTAATATATTTCAATATATTCCCTTAAAGTATGTGTATAAACTGATAATTACTGACATATTTATCTGGCATCCCTAAAAAGAAAAGAAAGATGAAAGGAAAATAAAGTTAAGGAAAAAATTATGAAAAAACATCTAGAGACAAATTCTAACCTGCATGAAACAGGCGAAGAATACAGGTCAAAGAAATGACTTGAGAGCAGGACAGACTTTTTAAACAAAAAAATACTTTGTAAAAGCACTCTGTAACATAGAGTGATAGTACAAACATGACTGTTACTATGTAAGATGACATGCAATTATACCATATTATAGAATCTGTTTGTCAGAAAATTAAATATTACAACAAAAGGTAATTGCAATATTACCTATAAATCTATGCTCCAACCCAGTAACACTGAATGTACACAACAAATTTTCCAGATAACTCAGAGGTACTTTAAAAGCTTCTCAGCCTTTTATTTTAAATGATATTGCCTTAACATAAAAGCATACATATCTTCTAACTAGCTTTGTGATATAATATTCCAAAAACGCCTACATTTACGAGACTAGCTGGTTAAGCACCTATCACTTCCTGTAATTATTACTTAATATCTCTTGGCCTACAAAATCAATATTAACAGTCATTCTAAGATCAATGCATTGGTTTTGAAGTACAGAAGCACTTATGCCTTCTGCTGCCTTTGATAATGTAAATGACAGTAATGAATTCTGATAAATTATTTTACATTTTATCTGATGAGTATCTCTCTAGGCATCAGGAATACCAACACCAGAATATGGTAACCTTCCTTTCATCTTTATTATATAGTCTCTGGCACATTTGAAAGCCAAAAAGCTTCTTCGTGTCACATGTAAAATTTATGTAAGATAAGAAACCCTGAGAGCACAGTTAGATTTAAAGTATACCAGGAGATGAAGTTTGCTCAACTTATCTGTAACACAACTAAAAAAAAAGTTCAGTTACAACTATATAGCCATAAACATTTACGTAAAGAACAATAAAAAGCAGTCCAGAGGCAAAATGGTTTATCTTCTTTTTAAGTACATTTCCATGGCATATGCTGAAGACTATCGTATTGAGTCAGATGCTCTTCACTGTCAGATTTTGAAATCATGCTTAGCACTATGACGTGAGTACCATCTTTTTACATTCTCTTAAAATAAGAGACTAATCTGACAAAACGCTAGTCTTTCTTACATTTGTAATACTTAGAAGGCAAGTGATTCAAAAGTTTCTGAAGTACAGAAAAGTTTGCTTACATAAGTCTTTCTGCTCCTCTAATTCCTGAACCTGTGGAAGGTGGGCTGGACTATTAAAATAACACTAGTGACTATCAGGAACAACAGACTAATGTAATACTAACGCACTTACTTGTTTATTTGATTGGAATTCATTCAGAGTTCTCCCACAAGACGCAGAGGATTTCAGTGAGAGAAATAAATACATATCCATCTGTTCTAGAGGATCTGATGGCCCCTTAGCTTTTCATTTACTCATTCATAATTTGGCTGTATGTACCATAGGTAGTAAAAGATAGAGTGACTGACAAGTAGGATCTCAAAGTAAAATATTTTATATAGTTTTCCTCTTTCAGATACTTTATCAGAAAAAAAGAGGTGTCCCTGCAATCATGGATACAAATCTGTAAGACAAATTTCACTCTCTGGTCATGGACTAAAAAGGTATGATCAAACCTTATTTTTAATGAAGATTTTAATATTCATTATTTGGTACATGCTCTCAATTTTCTTTCTCCTTTGTAGGTAATGCCTATAAAAAATTATCTGCTTTGCACAATTCATTCAATGGAGGTTTCACAGATATTCCTCTGCAGTGTATTAATAAACAACAATTTAGAATTACAATCATGTGGACAGCTTTTTTTAACTTTCACATACACACTTTTAAAACAGTCCTACTGAGATAGAAACAGTGCTAAGGATCCGTATGATCATCAGAATTCCTCACAACCCAGTACAGTCTGGATAACAAATATTGCTCAAGATCTCACCCTTAGTCTGGGAAAATGCATATATTTTGGAGAAAAGAAAATTACAAACCTTTCATCAGTCTCTTTCACTATTCTGTTCTCCTCTGCATCAGGAAAATTATCTTGACCAGCTACAACAGTGTTACTGCTAGAGGTGGTTCCTGCAGATGAGATGGAGTAAACGCACCCATTATATGCAGCACACAATATTTGCAAAGCAATAAAAGCCCATAACTTTATTTTCTTTAGTAGACACAGTCAAAGTGACAATCAACCATATAAGTGATTATACCACACTTTTTGCCTATGAATGCTCATTGTCACTGCTATTAAACTGGACCTGCTTGCGTGGCTGAACGCTTTGCTGGTTACATGCTTTGAAGGACAGATTAACATAATGATGCTCTCCCATTCCTTGAACTAAGCTCAGTCTTGGCCTAACCTACTGTTTGTCAAGAATTTGGCAAAACATGGACAGGGCTGGATTTGTATTGGTGTCTGCTATTTATCTTTGACTGCCTCAGCTTGAAAATAGCGCTAGGCCTTTGAAAACACAATGGCCACATAACTGAGGCTTTCAGCTTTCAACAAGCCCTGCTCCTTGAGTGTCTCTGCTGTGATCACAGCATCAGTGACAACTTCCTGCTGTCAGAAACTAGTGACAGAAGAACCACCTCACATGAGGCCTTAACGGCACCAAACATTGGCACAGTCCTATTAAAATGGTAGTGAGAATTGAACATATTTTTACAACATTTACGCAGCATTAGGAATCCAAGAACTTAGATGTGAAACAAGCCCTTGAAACTTGCACTTCATACAGACAGATCTGAATGGGTGCAAATGTAACCAAAAGAGATCGTTTTTTCAAAGAGATGAAGACTGGCAAGAATAGGAGACCATAACTGAAAAAGCATATTTAGGTCATACCAGAAGCTGCAGCTGAGGCTTTATTACTGGCAGCAAAACGGTAAAATGGAGGATTATCGCAATGCTGGACTATTGGGTTCACTGGGTCAGTTTGCTGCAGTTCAAATAAAAGCTCTTCCATTGTTTGAATAGTGTTGTTGCGACATAGATATATTGCAACCTTTTTGATCTAAAGAAGAAAACAACAGTTATTCATCTCTGTCCAAAGTGAATTTCCAAAGAAATCAATACATGTTACACCGCAGTACTGCAAAGATCCAGAATGCAACTGTTATTCTTGGACAGATACCCCAGCAACACAACTGAATCAATCCTGTTCATACAGAAATAGAACTGCTTGTTTTGATTTAAAGATCCTTTCCCCAACAGAGCAAATCTGTGATCTAATTGCCCAAAAGCTTTTGCTTATTATCCTCAAATCAGCTGTTTAGATGTATAACTATATAATATCCACACATACTAAAATTGACTAATTTTATACCTATCATTTAAGGCTATCAGAATTAACTCTGAATCACAGTCAGGGATTTACAGTTTGAATATGTGATTTCCACTGAAGATGAATCTTGCTGTTTTGCATAGAGTAAATTTCTCATCTAGAGAGCTAGATCTACCCAAAACATCATGTTTTTATTTCCAGATATGGTTGATGTGAAAGATAGGCAGCTGCACCCACAAAGAATAGGTCAGGCTCTCAGTAGTTACTTATATCTGTAATCAAAGTAATAGCACATGGAAAAAGGCAAAGTAATTCTGCAAACTGATTCATCCATACTGATTTCAAAATGTCTGAGAGAAAGCGCTATTTATATAAATTTGGAAAAAAAAAAAACCCTATGGAATACAACAAGAACTTAAACCCTACCATATCCACACAAAAATGAATACTGTTGAGATATTGAGATCAAATTAAACTAAATTCTTGAGGAAAAAAAACTGATGGCTACAGAATGCAAAGATACTATCTCTTGTTCAAAAAGTTTTTGATTCACAAACTGCCAAAGCTGCGAGACTGTATGGAGAAGCATCTCTCTATGCTTGCCTTCTTATGTAGATTCTTCTGGTGGAGCAAATAAATGAATTGAGCTTTCTTTCAGCCTCACCAAATAATGCTGTTCTTACAGTCTTAAATACTTCCATTAAGATAACTTGTTGATTGCTTCTGTTCCCCCTCTCCTCCCTCCCACCTTTCTTTTTTTTAAAGTAGGGAAAACGCACACATTCAGAGTCTCTTCTACTCTACTGTACTAAAAATTTCCCAGGGACTTTCCAGATACAACTCCACTTCTTTTCAGAGGCTTGTTGCTAGTTTGGCTCACAATACCACTTCCAACTGCTTTCACCCCAGGAGGGGTCACAGTCCCTACAGTAAGAGCCTGTGCTGAAGGTGTTTCTGAACTGTAAATATCCTAAGAAATCTCTCGGCACACACGTGAAAGAAAGGACAGCTAAGCAATTTGCAGCAATTTGCACCAGGGCACTCAAAAAAAGCACTCAAAGAAAACAAAAGTATAAAGGCCAACCGATGAATTTAACCACTTGAAAAACATAAAAAGCCCATCAGTCAAGACATGCTGTTAGCTTGGGCCCACACAAGCAGAACAGATGGCTGAAGGCACGAAGCAGCTGGTGACTGCCTGGGGCACTGATGGCTCCAAAAGAAGATGAGAAAGGACAAACCAGCAATCTTGCAACTGCATGGTTTTTTGAGGCCAGGTGAGCTGGAAAAGTGCTGATAACTTGTTTGAATTATCTTTATTTGCTATTTTGTATATGTTATCTACATGATAATTGAAGATATATGTTTAAGGTATCAGTAGACTTGTATAGTTAACAGAAGTGGATAAGATTTCTTATCTGGAAACTCCAGAGCACTATCAAAATTATACACATGTGATAAGACCAGTGTGTTTTTGGACTCTAGACAAAGATAACAATTAAAGTGTGATTCAAGTACAGTCAGGTTATAAGTTACTACAGAGGCTGAAAACTTTTGCAAAATCTGAGAATCACACTTTTCACTTAGTATTACAGAGCACAGACTAATTCTGTTGAAGAAAAAACAGGAACCTGGTCAGCTGCAGTCACCAATGAGGACACAATTGCCTTCCGCAGCCACTAGAAGCCTGGGAGGGAGAGCAGAAAAGTCCCAGAGGCAAATGGGATCCTCCAAACCTCTCTGGAATAAGAGGCCTGGAGAGGACAGGACTAGAGGTGCTGGTGAGGAATGGACGTACTGGTGGGAGGCTTTAAGGTGAGATGGTTTGGAAAGAAATTGAAGAAAGAAGTGTTATGAGTAAGGGAGGTTGAGGTGGGCTGCTCAGAGCTTCAGCATGGCAGGAGTTTTGGAAAAGGATGAGTTGGAAGATCAAGGCTGGCAAATAACTGGAAAAGAGCAGTTGGGGACTGTGGTATGTAAGAGGCTCTCAGGCAAGAGGGGATGGGGTTATTGGGCATTTCTAATCAGGCTACACAATTGGCAATGGGAACATAAAATAAGCACAGGACTTGTTCTTTCCCTTACAAACTGCCCTTGTTCCTTTCACAGGCTGTCAGAAATACAACAGCTCTCATCTTGTTTCTTCTCTCCCTGATTTTGATGTGTTCTCTGCCAACAATATCAGCTCATCCTGATGATCCCTTTAGGCCTGATCCCAAGTCTGTCAGAGAGTGCAGAATCATTCAGGCTGGAAGGGATCCAGGAGGTCTCTACTCCAACCTCCAGCTCAAAGCAGGGTCACCACTGAATTCAGAGCCTCCGTCACACTTTGCAATTGATGAACAGATCTTCACTACCCTCAAGATATTTGGCATCAGATCCTTTGTTTTCCTCTTACATAAACTCTGAGCTTGCTCTTATGGCAATTCCCCTTTTAAATCTTTCCTCTTTTGATTAGCTTCCTTGCACAGACACACTCTAATCTTATACAGTAAATGTTAAAAATAATAGGAAATCAACAGGATGTCTATAATACAACAACAATATCTTGTGATTTTTTATGATTTTCCATAGTTCCTTTGCTCTATTATGCCTAGCAGTCATCATAAACACTTTAAGGCAAAGTGTTGTTTTAGCAACTGTAAAGAAAGCATGTTTATGAGGCTTTTTAGATAAGTTTATTCACGTTAACATTCATTTCTAATTTATTTCCTGGAAATCAATAGAAAGCGACTAACTAATAATACAGCATATTGTAATTGGGCTGGAAAATTTACTAAATTTAGACTGTGTTCCTCCCAGCAACAGAGCAGTAAGGCACATGGGAATGGGATTATCTTGCCTTTCTCAGACAGCCTTGATTTTATTTTAACTTGAATAATAACAATATCCTGTGCAGTCTGACTTGCCCATTGCAGGAACAGTTATATAATTCATCACAGCCATGTAGAGGCAAAAGTTGATATGGTAAGGAGCTTATGGAGGTTCTTGCTTCTCTGACAAACTGACAAACACTAGTAAAATGATTGCATGGTATGTCCCATTCATCATATAACTTCCATTGTCTGAAGGACTTTCAAAATTGAACTAATAACTGTGTAAACTAATTATCTGCTGAGAAAAATTATAGGCATTTAGTATTTTTACTTCTCTTAATCTTTTCATGCAAGTTTTTAAAATTCGGAACAGCCACTCTATCTTTTCAATAAATGTTTATATCTATAAAATTGCTTGTTTTTGTGCAAATCTCCCATGGAAAAATGTTTCTAATTTTTCATCCTTGATTCAGTTAATTTATGGCCAGGCCTTGTTACTGCTTTACTGGTTACTTACCCGGACAAACAAAGCTGCTCTTTGCATGAGTGGAGCACACCTCTCGCTTGAAATGAGTTGTACACTCCACTGGTAGAGGCTCAGATTCTCACACCTCATTTCCTTTCTTGACTTACAGTTTCTTGGCTCACTTATTCCCTCTAACTGATTTAATTTTGTGCAGTGTGCTAGGAAATATGTAGGTGCTTTTTTGTTTTTGAAACAGAAATACGTTTTCTTCAGGTGATAACGGTTTTCTTCATTAAAATCCATGTTACCAATAATAAATAAAGTATAGTGCAAACACTTACATAAGGTAAAAGGACGGTATCACTGCTAACACCACACAAACTAATGAGAAACTGCAGTGTTATCCTAAGGTTGTTGCTCCATTTCTCGTTGTTGGCCAAAGCATTCCAGACATTTTCCATTTCTGGTCCGGGAATTTCATCTCCATACTGCAAAGGATCATAAGCATGCATTTTTTGAAATGTATATTGAAGATAAATAGGTAGACCTTTAAACTGAAGGCATGCTCTTCTAGAACACTATCTTGTGCAAAACCCATGGCAAAATGCTATAATAAGTGACAAAGCAGTATCTGCAAGAGTAGTGTGACAGATTTTGAAGCATATATTTTATTTAAAAGTATTATGGTTCAGATCCACAGGAGGACTTAGGGCACAAAAGAAAATTTTCAGGCATGTAAATCCAAAAGGTGATGCTAAAATCCAGCAGTATGGTGGAGTTCATCTTTACAGTTGTTCAAACAACTGAAGTTTTGCTTCTGCATATCTGCACCTAAGTGCCTCAGTCCTCACAGGACTGAGCAACTCAGCACTTCTTTCCCGCTTAAATCCTAACAGAGAGAAGAATTAGACAGTCTCCTGCTTCCCTGTTGGAAAGCAACAGCTTTTGCTCTCTTTTGCAAGGCCTGGTTGTAGGAATGGCTCCTTTTTGTCCAATCACTTAAGGGTTAGTGCATTCACCAGGATGTGGGAGTCCACAACTCAGCTCGTTCTGCTTGCTGTGTAAAACCTATGGCTCCTACTTTGAGAAGACTGTTTCAACCACTGCATAGTCTGACATCCTGCTACGAGAGTACTGGCAATCTCCAGTTCATGCTGTTCTACAGAAAATGATTTCTGTGGTCAAATAACTTTCTCCTCCTGCTCACTTCCCAGCACCTACAGACTCAAAGTTAGTTCAATCACTACGGTTTGAAGAGAGCAAACTTGATCACTCTGCAAAAAAAAAAACCTACATGTGGTTTTGGAAGCAACTAGCTCCAAGGACTGCTGCAGATAGGCAGGAAAGGTGAGATGGCAGCACATCTGCTTTCACCCTATACAATCCTCTAACACTATCTTAGCGACTCCATACCGTCACTACTCAGGACTTGATATGCAAAAAGCATCTCTCATTTCATGCTGAAAAACCATTCTGGTGGGCTGTAGCGTAGCATAGTGCTCACATTACTTCAGATGTGCCCATATGAAAAAATGGCACACAAAATAATAATTCTCTTTTAGCTACAGGGCCATAACATGAGGCAAAGAAGAGATCCGGAGACAACTGCAATGTAGTGTGGCTACAGACGTTCTGCTCTAGAGGGAAATAACCCAGAGCAGGATAGGAGATGTGAGCCACTGTTTCATATGACATAGAGACTAAGGATTACTTCCTGCAGTTTGTGTTTTTAGCAGTTTAGACATAGCCACTGAATCTGGTAAAAACACTAATCTAATAGCCTGCAACTCAGCAAAGAGAGGGAAATGCTGGATTCCAGTACGTTCTCCACTGATTGCTTAGGTATTTTATGTGAAAATGTCATTGGAAAAAAATGAATTCACGGTCCTTCAACGGGAGCTGAGATGTAAGATACCTTCCCTTTCAAAAGAGAATGCTTTAAATAGTACCTTAGAAATGTATATTCATTTTAGCTTCACCTCTCTCTCTGGCTTAATGAATATTTAAGTATTTCCTAGAAAGTAAAA